ACTTCACACATCAGTTCTTATAACACCAGTACCTAGTATGCAGTACATCTTACTTCTGTTTAAAAACACACATGGCATCCTTGATTCAATTTATAGTCATTCGACAAGTATAGATTTTTTCGAGAAAATACTTCATTAAGGGACTTCTTGATTTTTCTTAACTGTATTCGGCTCAGTCTTTAGATGAAGATATCAGCGTTAACATGTGAGTGCGATATAATAGGAGGTACGCCACTGTGGCGATGATGGCAGAGAAAAGGACGAGGCTGGCGGGAATTAGAAACCAGAGATTAACGACTGAGGTGTATGTATGTGATTAATGCGTTGTAAAGCAGGCAGGTGTTCCGATCTATCAGTTCACAGAACTGAGCTGAACTGAAAGATAGCTGGTTGGGCGGGTGCTAATTTGCCAATAGAAACAGGAATCTGTCCCTTCGGAAGATGATAAAGGAAAACAACAAGAAGAGTGGGATGATATCTATAATGAGGCGGCAATCGAAAGTGGCGTTGCGGATAAATTGTTCATATGGGCTTAAATAAAGAATAAAAACAAAACAGAAGACGGTGTTGCCGGTTGACCGCCGAAAAAAGCCATTATTTTCCGTTAGCTGTACGATTACGCATATAGTTTCTATAAGACCTTACTTTATAATTGTTATTATTTTACGAAATAGTACCGCTATTGTTACACTTCTAAAAAGAGGGAGCAAAATACTTAACACCTTATTCTTCGTGGTCGTTTTGGTCTCCAAGACTTCCATCAACATAGCGAAAAGCCTGTTTGACTGAGACTAACCTGAAAATGACATCAACAAAAAAACAACTGAATGTATTTGCATAAATCTGCTTTTATTACAAATTATATACATTTAAAACCTACCTAAATAGAACATCAATACGAAGGGCTTGCTTGGTTTTTTTATGGCAGTTATTCTCCTCATTCAGTTGGCGGCTACTTTTTCGCATACATCTGCTCGTATCTCTAAAATGGCGGCACGGATATTTAGTTTAGTTTGTTCATCGTCGGTGAATTACCGTATACCGAGAATTTCCAGGCATCCACGAAAGGGATTTGCACCCTACGATAATTGCGATGTAGGTCGTAAGCATCATTGGCTTTTTTTGGCAAAACTGTTGACCTTGTTCGCTAAAAGGAGATGATCGCACTCCTTTGTGCAAATTATATCGTTGCAAGACTTATGGCTTCAACAGGATAATTTATCCCTCCACGTAACTAGCATCGTCATCATTAATAAAGGATCGCTTAAGTGAGCGGCTGATGTCGAACGTATCCTAGGTAATGTGGCCTAACTTTGCTCGATAGTTTGTATAGGGGTACTTAACATGCAACGTGTGCTACAACAATTCACGGATTGGGGACAAATTTAAGGAAAGTATTTAAGAAAAAGATAGATGTATACGACAAAATAGACTAAAACTGGATGAAGCGAATAACTGCAATGACAAAAGCCATGGAAGACGTCGTTATTGATGTTGTATTTAAGTAAAATTTTGACCATATGAAGCATTTCATGAAATATATTAGGTTATTCCTATCGGCCTCACTTCGAAGTTGTCCGTGACCAGATGGCCCTTCTTGTACTAGGTGAATGCGTAGCTTTCAATTTCTGGTAGTTGCAATCTGCATTCTTAAATCAGACTCATCTCTGGTTTCGTTGCAAGCAGGGCTCTTATTTAGACTGGGTCTTCTACTCGCTCTCCACAGTTGACGGCAATGGCTAATTAGTGTCTACGGTAAAAAGTGAAAAGTTGCATAGTCTGCGTAAAATATAAGGAACCACGTACATACATATAATCGAATAATGAGTTATGCCTAAGAAAAGCCTTTCAGTCTTTAATTGGATATAGAAGTGTTACCATGCTAAGTGGTCATTGGGACAGTCACTGAAATATCAACGTCCATTCACTCTAATTATCAGTCTAACTTATTTATTCTATTTTGCCCTATTTGATAAATCTGCCTAGTCAAATATCAACCTAGTCATAGGACACTTTATGTGGTTAATTGCTGTAGACCTAATAACGCTGATGTTTCTTATACGATGAACACGTGATTTAAAAATGCGAACCACGCTGGGGGGCATGCCAGGCCTCGCAGGTCGTTATTTCCTGCGCTGATACTTCAGCTCCAATCTAAACATTGGTTAATGATACGTAGGATACAGACCAAGCGGACGAAGAAGTCAATTATATTATGTCATCATCTATGTTAAATCCGAGCATCCTAATCCTACTGGTAGCATTTATGTACTCGAATGTTACATTACACATTCAACTTGTGCTGTTATTGTTTCGAAAGGGAGACAGCAACAGCCCCAAGGAGTGTCATGGCTTCCTCCTTATTTAGCACACCAATATTATTGTATTCCCATAGAAAGAGATATGTGGATTCATAGTAAAATTTGCTCTTCTCACTCAGGGGTGCCAAATCAATACTTTCAAGTATTTCATCTAAATGTAATTAGGCCACTGGCGTATGAAACGTAGTATTACAAACGGCACCAAATCCATTGAATTGGTCCTGGAACCTCAGTTGGTGCACAAAGGTTATTCACAAATTTAGAGTTTGTCACAATTATACTTTTATCAGTATAACTGCAATTGGATTAGTTAAAACATTCTAATTGTAGCTATCCCTTTAACAGGACACACCTGTCCGAAAATGAGCAATACAAGCGTATATACATTGATACATATGCAACTGCTGTGAACATTTTAGGAGACAAACCAAGAGGTAAAACTGTGGTATTACTTTGTATGACTTTAGTTTTGTCAGTGCTTTGTTTCTAAGACTGTATCTAAACGAGAACAGATATTTCAAAGATTTCTTTTGCCTGCATGCATGCGCCACTCACTAATCATCGTCAAAATATTCTTTCTTTAATTCGTAAAGATTTATATATATGACGGTAAATAGTGGCGCCGTTTTTTAAATAGTTCCCCCTAATGCTGCACAATATTCGAAAGCTCTCAGCCTCCTTCATCAGTCTGTATCATTTGAGTTAAAAGGTAAACGCAAAATACAATACAAATAAAACCACAAAAATGAACTTCCAGGTCAATAAATGAACTTTCGAGATAAAACTGTGACATCCACATTAGTTCTCGTTCTTTTCATATAGAAGCTTTAAAGCACTTAGTGAGATCTCTGATCTCTAATGTGTGTTGTGCGATTTCTAATCTGATAATGTATCGAAGAGGTATGGTAAAACCTCAAGACAATCGTGTATTCATTGTATCACTTATTATATAGCAATCGGATGGACTCCATCTGTAATGGGCCACCGTGCAGCCGAGGAGATAAATAAAAACTATCCAACGTGACCTAGACGATAACTAAGCCTTTAGGCTGAAACCAAGGTGCAAATTTGTCTAGCTGTGATTCAACAGTGTTGGTTCCCAGTAGAAAAGTCAACGTTGTATGCCGACACCCTCGTCTTACTCTGCGATTTTAGATTTATGGAGAACACAATGAATGAGCAACCTTTACGAGTGGTAAGGAGAAAGCAGATAAATCGGATGGAATTGTCACGGTGATCTACGAGATACAAAATGGCTATACTTCTCGAGAGGGTGACGGGTCTTGAATCTCTGTCCGTCGATGCTGACAGCGCCAAGCCTAGAGTATACGACTTAATAGCCGCTGCTAACCGAGAATATATTAACGGAAGTGCGTTTACTTTCGTACTCCTTTGATGCTTGACATCGATAGCTTAAAGACCCGCTCTATATATCTGGCTATAAGATATTTTCCTTTTTGTTAGCAGTTCGTACATCTTCGTCTGATAATTCGATATCGTAAAACCGCAACTCTACACTTGAGGAGATTTCCAAATTTATAAGATAAAGGGAGCTTCGTTTCTTACAAAACTTTTGAGGAAAAGAAGTTTTGCAATCTTTTACTAATTTATACGAATTTTCTCAAAAGAAGAGTGAATAAAAACTGTACTTTTCAATCTATCTAAGCCCAATGAATGTCATACCATTGTGCATCAATGATTTTCTATGAAGTTGTCAATTTCTTACACCTATATTAAAAATTTACATATAGTTACAGTATAATACCTATGGTGATCATGTTTAGCAAGTCCAGTCTCTAGATCCATTTCGCAGTCAAAAAACAAAACACAGGTTGTCTATGCACCCGTAGTTTAGCCTAGTTTTCTGTCTTTTTCCTAGCAAATGATTAAAGGGAAAATAAAATGAACCCGTATGAAACTGCGCGCACGGAGAAGACAGCCATTCATTGATATACTGATTGCTATGCATTTGATAGGGAAGCAAATCTCCGAGCAGAGAATGAGAAAATGGGTCGCCACTTTTATGTTTGCAGTTAGTAGTTTACTGCTTCTATTTCTACTTCTATACTTCTAGTTTACTGCTTCATGACTGAATAGAACTACAAATCGCGTTGATTAAGTAGCGATTTTTTCGATTTTTATGTCGACTCTTCCTGCACGGGTACGACACGATTAAATGGAGTATTGCTTGAATTCTCGATTAACTCGGCACTTACTTTTTCGGAGGTACAAGCGAAGGTACATGAGGAGTTATATCTTATCTTCGGTGAAGGTCGCAAGTCATGTGCCATTTTCGAAGATTTGAAGGAACAGCGCTATTTTAAACGCGTATTCAGAGAGTACGTCTTTGTTTTATCTATAAATCGTCGCTGTACAGTCGACGGTGTTAAGTTTGGTGTGTTACCCGTAAGCCAATATCAAGATCAAGTCATCACTATAACCCGAAATCATTAATGATGTTACTGTACACACTGTTTTTCTCGTAGGGCTTCCTAGATTCGAAGATGTTACGCGGCTGATCTAGAACATGGCCTTAACAAACTAAAATTGACCCCATTCCTTTAAATGGAACCTTTAAAACCAATAACTTTTAAACCTTTTATAAACAATTAGTGTTTTTCTCGGGATTCAACGATTTCACTTGCTTTGCATCTTCTCCACCGAGGCGCGGCTGTGTATCTGTTTTGAGGCCAACAATCTTGTACCAAAAATGTTCATCAACGTCACCTGTATGTATTCATGCCATTCTCAACTCAACAACGCAATTGTTGTGTTGGCTAGAAATTCGCGAGAAGTCAAGATGGCACTTGTCAACTTGCTTTGCTTGTGCCGCGCAGATAGCTGAAGACCTTTCGAGAACCTATACCTCGCCGACAAACTTCTCTTGCGCGTCAGAAACGACCTCCACAAAGACTTTGAGCTGCGTTAGGTGATCACAAAATAATTTTAGCGATTTCCATTAGCTATGTGGTATGCCGTTTCTTAATTTTTATCTTTTTCTCAATTCCGCTTTGTCGCACAGTGTTAAGCATTTTCGTGCTACGCATGTCAAAGGAGTTTTCTAAAATTACCGTGTATTACGTGCCTATGTGAATTAAGGTGAGCATACACCTTTCTCTCTATCAGAATTTTTATGTCGCCGTGCTTCTATTGAATTTGAAATTTTTTTCTATTCTATATTGGCTATGATACTTAGAGAAAAGTCATTAAGGAAACGATTAACCGTTTATGGAAAGTCATCTATAAGAGACATGCCAAAAGATAATCGGAATATCATGTTCCAACTTTCAAACCATTATAAAACGCAAATGCAATGAATAATTATTCATAAAATACTATGAAGTGGTTTCGAAAAATTGAGACATTTATTTTTATGTCATGGATCGCCACTAATATAATTAAAGATTATAGAGATAGATATTATAAAGCTCCATACATCTGATTATTTACCACTTCCATAAAATGAGTAATAAATAAGCATAACCGTATGGTCCGTTTATATTTAGGCTTATTTTTTGTTGGGTACATAAATAATGTTGTAGTTAAATAGATAGCTACTTCATCTTTGCTAGTATTTATTGCTTTATTGATTTTAAGAGGGCTACATGAGATACTCATCAATTTTTTTTTTGCAAAAATAGAGTCAGCACTTGCGATATATATTGTAAGATAAGTGACTAAAAGGATTTTTAATTACTTTTAATTAAGTCAATTAAACTCATTAGTTATGTTGTTTTGCTTCAGGCGATCTCATCCATTCGTTTGGCCCGCATGAAAAATGCTGTAGAGATTGTCTACAACTCTGCTAAAACAACCAAGCTATAACAACAGCAACATAAACCATGAAAAGTGGGTGGTGTGAAACTAACAATATTCGGGCTTCAATAAGGCATAACCTTACCTCCGTTAGGGTAGCACTTCGTTGATGCATCCCCCGTCCCATTTCCCCCGTTGTACGGCAGTTCGTTTTCCGTACAAACTCGTCCTGTCGCCCCTTTTGCATCAAACGTGTTTCCACAGACAGTAGTCGTCCGCGGCCAAGCCCCAATCCGCTGTGGAGGTCGCCACCGATGCCACCCGTTGCAACAAGAATAAACTGCCTCTTTCGGCGATCTCAGCAGCGAGTCCCCAGTCCCGTATTTTGAGGGTAACGCATTTGCCTGCTAATCTTAGGGAGACGTTCTGGTCTAGGCTAGAGCTCGGGCATAAACAGACTTCGTTTTCATGTTGGGAACCAGCCGTCTGGTGGGATGCCTGACGGGGATACCGCACGTAAAACTAGAAACATGGAAGTCTCACTCTCCATTCTTTAGAATCGAACACGAATCGCGGAGATAAATAGGTCTCGCGGTTTAATGATTAGGTCATGTGTGGGCTTCGTAGATGGGACCAAAATCAGAAGCTGTTCATCAAGCACCGCTAGTGGCTAGGGTTTTTTGTGTCCTTACCACATTCAAACTGTAATATTGCCACGCTTCATATGTCCAAAGGCGTACAGGACATAAAGATTACCTGACCAAAGATACGACCAGAACTTTTTTGGTTAACTTCGCGTAATTACTATTAGCGGATAGTGAAAAAATCATTGCCTAACAATACTTAATCCATTAGATACCTACGCCATCCATAAAGCTTGAAGATTGAATTAATCATACCGTTAAAACGATATTTTTTCATAACATTTGGTAACATTTTCTCTAAGAAACCCAAAAACATTCTATTACTCTTTTCGGTGACCGTATCAGCGCCAACGTATCCATCTGGTTGCGCCTGCAATCGGTAACCTCCCGTGGCCACACACTACTTTTAATATCTTCAATAGTAATAACTTCAATAATTATTCATCTTATAATATTTATTTCCTCTATAAACTCCATAGCCCTGTTAGTTGATTATCAGTTTTTTTCCAATTGAAACAGAACGCTATAAATTCATACAAAAATAGTGATTCAAACTACTGTGTCCGCGTTCATTAGCGACATCCAATGTTACTTTAGATTGCTTCATTATACACAAGTAAGTAGTCTCTTTAGCTATTGAAACAGCGATGTTCTACAGGAATTCTAGTAATAAATTCATTTATTCTGTATTCGCCGTTACTCTCCGCCACTTTCTTTCACCTCTTAGCCAATTTATTTTATTTATCCTGCCATGAATTTTCTACTTTCTGTTGAAATATATACATAGCTTTTCGTTACCTCGCACCAGTTTACATTAAAAGCTGTCATTATGGATGCATGTTGCCTGGTTCTGGACCAGATGTCGGAAGGTCAACTCTTAATTAAAATATTATTTATATATAAAAAATTAAATACACTGCTCGTAAAGTTTTGGGCGACAAGTGGTTTCGAAAGCTAAAAATAGTGATGAATATTGATTATTACATATTACAATTTTTGGCAGCTCAAAAGCTTTCGTTTTCTCTAAAACATTGGTGGTTCCTACCGTAGAATGACGGTAGGGTCATTCTATAATCGTATTTCAAAATAACAGAAATAAAGAGGCGCTACATGGGAGCATATTAGTGGAAAAGATATCCGTCACCCCAATGATGGTGAATAGCCACTTTCAGCCGCGCAGTGTAACCTGACCTTTGCTGACGCTTCCCGGATAGGAAAAATCTGACTGACTATTGCTAAAGTTCCGGAGTTATTATTTTTATTAGAACTGAATTCAATTCAGCTGAAAGTAAATGGCAGCGAATCAACTAAACCTTTTGCGACAAGCATGTACTGTATTGTCGTTTTTAAAAGAAACAATCTCATCACTTCGTCTTCTTATTGAACATATATGTAAAAGACATATATGTACATATATATATCTAATTTAACTGTTTAATAATATATAGAACAAAAAATCTGTTATTTCTATACCTGCATTTACATAAAAACAAGCATTTTAGTGAAACGTTTCCTATGCATTAAAAGTATCGTCCCCGAGGAACATGTTTATTCGATACAGCTACCATCAACCGCGATTACAGCTTCAATTCAGGAGTTAAAATACTGTAATTTTTAAGATATTTCTTTTTTAATCCGCAAATAACGTTTTAATGATAAGCAAGCAATATTGATAAGTATAAACTCGTTGAAATGTCGTTCAAATACACTACGTACAAAAAATTAGTAGGATTAAATTTTGGGCTGATAATAAGCCAAAAATACATATGCTCAAAACGGCTAGAGACTTCAAAAGGTATAAAATAGTACGAAAAGCCTCGAGAAGACTACCGGCTGAAGTTTATCTGGACGCAATTGACAATTGATATTTCGCTGTTCATACTGATCGTCTATCTCCGCCTAAAAAATCCAGATGTATCAAATATAGCTTTTTGAGTCATTTTTATTATATTTCGAGCCTTTTAGATTCAAGCTCTCTTGAGGATCTCCAGACTCGCCTCATAGAAATGTTTTTCGAATTTTTCAGACCCCGCACGAAGCTTGGAAACAAGACATCGCATAATAGCTGATCTACGTTCCAGTTGCGAAAACGAACCATTTGAATTTTGAAACTGTTTTCCGCGGTAGCGATTTCGCTGTTTTGTTCTAAAAAAAAACTGCCTTTCTTCTAGTGCCACAAAGTAGCAGGTGAATTGACGCCTGCTTTAATAAAAAACTTGACTAAGTTGGTCCGTATTTATATGCGTTACCTTCAATATATATGACGTGCGTACGCCTATCCATTTTTCTTAATATATTAAGTACTGCCTCTTCATCCGGCATCTAAAAAAAAAAAAAAAATATATATATATATATATGGTGGAACCAAGGTCACTTAACACTTAAAAAGACTTGATTTTACGTGAGAGTGACATTGGAATACAGTACGATAGAAATGAGAATGAAAAAGAGGTAAGTAAAAACTATCAAATTGTCAAGTGACTTTTGCCTCACCTATCTAAATATAGCTATATATATGAAAGCGCATTATTCGAACACAAAAACAATTTTTTTTGCCCTTCTTCAAGATCGTAAATTTATTCAGTTTCATGACTATGCCGAAAATCAGTTGTCATTATTTTCCAAACTCATAGAACAGCCTAGGCCTTTTTCGGAGCCAATTTACCATTCGTAGTTTATTGTTTCGACTGTGCCTTGTTCTCGGTAGCAAAAAGCCCTGTAAATACAATCCACCTCTGTCTTACTTTACGTACTCGTATTGCCTTTACTAAAATTTAGTGACGCCACGATATTATGCATTTTTCATTTTTGCAAAAATACCAACACCGAATGATGGACTCATTCATTTGCCCGCAGGTAAATTAAAACTTAGTCTGATAATGTCAAGCACGGTAATACCCGTTAAACATATGTACAATTTAATATCCACTAGACATAACACAACCCGATAAAACCACCTCAACGAGTTTATGATATAGTAGAGAAGTTTTAGCATAAATATTTTTAATGTCGATCCGCTTAAGGGTAGGTTAGTTGTACAAGCACATACCTTTACATGCAACCACGAACTTTATGATTAAATGTGTATTAGTTATTAGAATATATTCTATGAAATAAAACCAGGGAGAGGGAGCACGAAAATACAACACGAGGTGAGGGAAAGTAAGCTTAGCAACAGTTTTAGTGGGTCCATTTGTTTCCTAGCTTTAAAGCCAAGAAAAAAAAACCTTAAAGTAAGAGAACGACGAATAAATTGTGCTAACCTGGACATGGGCATAAGTTACTTTAAAATTTTGGCAAGAATAATGGAATGCCACCCTCCGGCCCACACCTATATTCGCAGTAAAGAGCATTATCTTGGTTATTAAAAATGATTTAAACGGCACAGAGCTAATTTGCTTTCTCATACATCTCCTTATTGAACACGGACCCTTCCCGTGTAACGTGTCACGTTGTAAATAACGTATAGGAGAAGCTCCTTTGATCACTTGGGTGTTATACCCAAAGAGCAAAGGAGACGGCGCCCCACATAAAAAACAATGTGCTACGCTCGAGTATATCCGCTATAAACGTTAACATCCAAATACTCTTAACAGAGGAAATAAAAAGGTTGCACACTTTTGTGCACATTTAGAAAGGACTGCGAAGCAGAAACAAACTGGCTGGAAAGGTCGTAGTAAAAATAGGCAATTCAAGGGAAGGGCGGCAAGATCACCATAGACAGAAACAGCTTAGGTAGACGATTCAAGGAACCAAAAACAAATGTTTCGAAAACAGGTATTCTTATTGTGAGCCAAATCTATATCAAATTTAACAGATCCTGTTGTAGTTTATAATATGTATTTGCAATCAATTTTACTGTCCCTGTTAAATTCTACTATCATATTAGGCAGAACTGATACGGTTAAATCACACTGAAGGTCCTAACTATACACGACTATGGCGATATTACACGGGTATTGCACCTAACCGAAGTAAAACACAGCTTAATTGTCCCCAAATGATTTATTTCACATTTTGCCCGCCTTTGCATAAATGGAACGCGGCTAGCGGGTGGCCACTACTGGCCAAATGTTCCGGGTGAGCGTTTCCTTTTCATATTAAAGAACAGCTGCCGTAGCTGCCACTGCAGCCGTCGCCGCAGCCGCCGGTGGCTTTGTATTGTCCTGCTTGTTGTCCGAGCGGGTCTCGACATTGTCGTCCTCGTACTTGGGCACCATAACGGTAACTTTGTCGGGTAGCATGAGAGCGGGGCCACGCTTGCCTTGCGCGTCGAACGGGTGCATGATCTTCACTTTGATACCAAGTACGCCCTGTTTGAGCAGTACATGACGGACGGCAGTCTCAACATAGTGGTTTGTTGGATCGCCAGAATGAATCATGAGACCCTCGACGAATTTCATGCTCTTCGCGCGCTGGCCTCGAAGTTTACCAGAGACGACAACTTCACAGCCCATAGCTTCAGCCTCCATAATGCAACGGAGAACTGAGTAGCAAGCCCGACGAACAGCAAGGCCCCCAATCAATTTGTAACGGAGGGATTCACACTGTGTGATGGCACACAGGCCACGAGCCGACACCTTCTCGGCGAACAGATTGACCGTACCCTCCTAAAAAAGAACACGAAAATATGGGGCGAGCAGAAAGTTGAATTGTTAAATAATGTGAACGCAGACAATGTTATACACTAGCGTCTATGTTAACTAGATCGGTTTACCACGTACTTATCAAGAAGACGCTTGCTGGCAGCATTGAGTGCCCCTATTAGCTATTATTATTACTCGAACTTTAACGTTGACGTCTACCACAAAGGTGTTACAAACAATTATTGACACACAATTGAAAGCATGAAAGCAAGCATGCATGAAAGCATGAAGCATGTGTGACCGCCTTGGCTACTAATTCTAGTGGCTTGTTCTTTAAAGGACTACCCGTACGGTTCGCCAGTCGATAATATAGCAGTTGTAATGAGGATTTTACAATTTGTTATCTAAGCCTTGCGAATTATCTTAGGCTGAATGGAACTAAACTTAAAACAAGAAAATCAACACCAGATTTACTAAATAATACAGAATCGATTACAGTGGCACCAGCCAGCTACTGCTGCAATACAAATAAGGAGTATCGGTACATAAATGGCCAATGTCTCCTTGTTTGCGAATAGAAAAATATGGAACAAGTACACACGTCTATGAACATCTATTGATTAATAGATTCAAAGTCCAGCACAGTGATAATACACTTAATTTTCTGGTGCCCTACCTTGAAGTTGAATCTTTTTTGAACAACAGCGGTAAGTTCACGGATCTTACGTCCCTTCTCTCCGAGGACATCTTGCGTACGAGTGGCCATGATGATAATGTCAGTTTTCATCGCGCCGTTGCGCACCTCTACGCCCGAGTAACCATTTTCGGCGAGCTCTCGGCGAAGGAACTCGTTCAACTCAGCATTGAACACTCCGTCCGCAACAAACTATATTACAAAAGCACACCGTTGAGATATAACACAAAACAGAACAAAAAAAGTAATTACAAGTAACGGAGCTTTTCTTTTTTACCAAAATTTACTGCTTGAGTTAACAGTGTACGTTAGCCACTTCGTGATAACTGAAAAAGCCTCGCAGAACACTGTCAAACTGTCGTTTTAGAAGCTTGAGTTGACAGAGTCCTAAATGACGTCGTATAAACTTCCAGACTGGTGTCACAAAATCTGACTGGTGATGTGCCGCGAAACCCACATTGCTAAATTGGTTCAGTGCCCAGTAATTCGGCTCAAACTTAGAAGAAAATTTACTGTCTATTTCAGCTTCCCAAGTCCTACAAATTCGTTACTTTTTGCGCTCATATCCTGCGATTAACACAATGCCACAATACAGTAACGGAGCTAATAACTCCGGCTCAACCGCATAGCGTGTCATGGCTTGCTACGGCGGTTCTGTCCTACGCTCATCCGTACAAATCCCTGATACAATGAATATCATTTCACACAAATCATATATGGTATTGATCTACAGACACTTCTTTTCGCACTGCACACAACTACCTCGCAAAAATATAGGTGAATTTTAATAAATTACCCTGCGTTTCTTGCTTAGTGCCGTCGCCATGGTCGGGCCTTGACGAAAAAAGAACAATCAAAACACAGCGACATCCGGTTTCGGAAATCTATCGGATGTAAACACATATATGGTACCCTTTTCTCCGAATTCTGTTTTAGTAACAAGTATAGTTCTTGTTCACTCTGTTTTTGAATCTGCTAATCACATTGATAAATCAAGATTTAAAAATAGGTCATGAATCGAACTATTTTAAGCAAAAAATACTGAGTTTTTTAAAGACGAGAGTGGAGCAGACGATGTTTTGCTAACAAATGGAAATATTCCAATCTTCGAAAATTTAGAAATGCCATGTGATTCCCAGCAACAATATTGTTTTTCACTATGGGACATAAATAATTTATGACATGTTTAGATACCGAAATGGTTGTCGCTCGCCTATTGCATAATGATTTTTGCATTGGATACAAAATTTAATTGGGACTTGGCGACGTGATAAGAGTGTGTTTTGCTGTCAGAAAAGAACTAGAAGTTGAGCTTGAGGCGATTCGAATATGAAATTGTGTACAAAGTGTTCGACACGCAAGGCCTGCTTAAAGCGGCCAAAAACCGGCGACCCCTTGTGCAAAGAATGCTTCTTCGAGGCATTTGAGGAGGAAATCCACTGGACAATAACAACATTCAAGGCAGGGAAAATGTAGATCATTGTCTATTAGATATTTAATATGTCTTTAAAAAACAGCTTTAGAATAAAGAGATAGAAGTGCGCACCATCGCAATATGTGAAAATACGATCCAACGTATTTGAGTATGGCACAATTTGTATGAATAAAGAACGCGGCTTATTTTTCATAATCTGAAGCAAATTTATTTGTCAAACTAAACATATGACCCAATAATATAATATCATGTTAATAAGAATAATAATAGTATGTTTGTCATTTGTCCGTTTTATTTTATTGTTATCAGCGATCTGTTATTCCCAAAAAATTTAGTCCGCCTGAAAGTATAAAGTACCTCAGACCATGTCAAGCAATATTTTGCCTAATTCGGAATGTCACTGGTATTTTAGTTATTTAATCCAGGCGAGTATGTAGCGATTGCTGCATCAGGAGGTAAAGATTCAACGGTGCTGGCCCACGTAATAAAGCTCCTTAATGATCGTTACGGGTACGGCATAAGGCTTGTGTTGCTTTCAATTGATGAGGGAATCACCGGATACAGGTAATAACTACCAATGGTAACGTTTTTAAAAAAGCACTTGAAATAAAGACACGATAATAACATTTCGTGACTAGAGATTATTGACCATTGCCAAATTTTCATCCTTAGTTATTTCTTTCAACTGCAATTAAACATACTGCAGGCTGGGCCTCTCGGAAATTCATTAGCCCTTGCATGGCCGCATTAATAGGTGTCTTTTAGGCTATATTCGATTCATCTTATTTTGTAAATTTCAGAGACGATTCGTTGGAGACTGTAAAGCGGAACGAACATCAGTACAACATTCCTTTGAAGATTTTGTCATATAAAGATCTGTACGGATGGACAATGGATAAGATCGTTGCCGCAATCGGGAAGCGTAGTAATTGCACATTCTGTGGAGTATTCCGTAGACAGGTTAGTATTATATATTGCAGAAGGGAAGTTGATGTACCTACAAATTGTTTTGAAAGCGATGACCTAGAGTTTTTTTTTTCTGGAAACGAAGTACTTAAGAACACAAATGTGATTTTTATGAATTTGCCATAATTAAAATTAAAATTGATGACCTGTTTTCTCTGCAGGCCTTGGATCGAGGTGCCATGCAGTTAGGTGTTACTAAAATGGTAACTGGGCACAATGCAGACGATATCGCTGAAACAGTGATTATGAATATCCTTCGGGGAGATATTGCTCGGCTACGGAGGTGGGCAAGCCATTTTATGTATTTACAAGTTATTACTTCCATTGCTAGATATTCAAAAGAGCCATACTTGGCTACTAGATCGATCTGTTACTGTTTGTGATCGAGACATTAAGACTCCAACATTAATATTGTTCTCCGACAAATTTCTTGCTTAAAATATCAGCTTCCTGCCGGGATTTTAGCCATCTAAGCGCATATTTCCTTTTATTTCGTGTACGTAATGGAAATTGTTTTATGTGGACTGTGCTTTCAGATGTACGTCTATTGTCACAGGCTCCGACGGGCTTATACCTCGTTCAAAGCCGTTTAAATACACATACGAGAAAGAAATTGTTATGTATGCGCATTTTAAAAAACTTGACTATTTTTCAACAGAATGTATCTATTCGCCGAATGCCTATCGGGGTCATGCGAGAGCCTATATCAAAAACCTTGAGTTGCAGGATCCGTTGGCTATACTCAATATTATTTATTCAGGAGAGTGCATGGACGTGCGGGATGATGTTCGCTTGCCGTCCAAGCGAACGTGCAAACGTTGTGGGTACATTTCGTCGCAGGAGGTGTGCAAGGCATGCGTTATGCTTGAAGGACTAAATAAGGGCATACCGCGGTTGGGGATTGGAAAAACAAGCAAAGTAAATAAAAAAATAGAGAATCTCAAAATTTCGTCCGACAGAAGGATAAAGGGGGGTGATGAACTGAAGAACGTAAACATCGCTAATGATAGCAACGACAAAGCGAATAAATGTACTAACAACGACAATCAAGCCTCCGATACATGCAAAAATAAAATTAAGAGCTCGCTTTTGAAAGAGACCACGTTAGACTGGTAATAAATTGTTTGTCTTTGTTGTTATAGTTTCTTTATATCATGTCTTTCTTTCTAGACAATTTTTATTGCTATAGAATAGTTATTATGTTAATTGAGGAGCGTTTCGTGTTTCAACTCATTACGTTGAATAGTCCAAATGGAATTCGACTTGCATATAGGAAGAAGATATACTTTGTCACTGGAGTCGCGCCCTGTTTAGTTGGAAACATTTCGCTACTTCACCCCCAAATTACAGCAGTGTAGAATAATAAGGAAAAAGGCTAAAAGCAAAAATCCTGGTCTATATTCTCTTAAGCCTTTATTAGTGGAAATTATTAACGAGCCTCAATTGCATCTGACCGACGCCGAACTTTCCGATTTCTGTGATAAGCCGTCTGTAATGCTGTTCTTTATAATTTGGTTTATTGGATAAACGGCAAAAGGGACATGAAACAGTTCGTACAATACAAGTACCTTTTAGCGGTGCGAACAATAAACTCAGGCTATATAATCATTCACACACAGCGAAATATGGACAATACAGATGAAAACACATTCAAACATTCCCGTCCAGTAGAACCCCAGTACCACTGGGAACTTAAAGCCATATATTCCTAACTCTAACCTCGCAACGCGTGCTCAAAGTGGTGCGGATTTGCTGGGAACTTGCTAATTTGTTAATGAAGCATAATACTGTGATAATTTTGAGAGCCTGCTGTTCACACCAGCTTTGTGGCAGACAAGATTGTTGTAAAGCATTCCAAAACAAGTAGAATGATTTGTCATTTCTATTAAAAAAAAAATATGTAGATTATGTTAAAATTTATATAAAAACAATGGACAGCTAATTGCTACAAAGATAAATTTGATCTTGCATAAAGCATTCATTGAAGATGGCCAGAGTCCACTCAAGTGTAACTTAACACGGTAGCTTTCTCAGTGCCAAAGATGACTCACGTGTGTGTACTGCATTTTCCTTTGATATCTCGAATGCTAGTAATAAAGCATAGCATAGTAATCTATAATATCTAAGTAGATAGTTTACAAGTCTAACCATGTTGGCGAGTTTTGTAAACGCGTGGTTCGTGCAGATATCTATTTATAATGGTTAGGTATCACCGAGCGCATTGACATACTAGTATCTATGCGACGATTGCGAACGCATTGCTATTCGTCACAAGAAGGATATCGGAATCTCACAGTAATTTCAAACCTTTCCTCGTTTTTTTAATGTAGCCTCTTTGGCAATCTAATAAAAAAAATTATAAGGGTGGAAAGTTTGCCTCCTCGCAAACGTTATATGGTTTAAATATATTCGCTTATACAGTTCCGCGCTTTGATGCACTCACTGCTTCTGTAGACTGTGTAACAGAACGTTTAATTCCATCTTTTTCAGAGTGTCTTAAATGCGAGTGAAAGCGTAGCTGCGATCATGGATTTTTTTTCTTTTCCTAGCAGCCGCTACGATATAAAGGAATGTAACATACTAAAACCACCTTTTCACTGCTCAGACCGACCTACTGACAACGTTTTTGTGAAAACATGTGAGGTTAGCGACAAAGATAAGCAGGAAGTAAGCAAAATGTCCCATATCATTTCAGGAACGTGGTACCTGCCGAATTTGCCTGTATGTTTGTTTTAATAAATTAGTAAATTTCACAGGGATTTGTTTGCTGCTATCATTGCGTAGACAAACTATTTTTACTTTTTACGCGTTTTTTTGATAAATTCTAGTAGCTATCAATGATTTTAACTCCTAATTAGAGCCTTTCGAGTAAGAGTTTGAACACCTAGTGCAAGTGAGCACTTTAGTCAAGGAGGTGTTTGTGATAATTATAGGCCACAATAGAGTCGTTGAAAAAAATATGGCGTTACTGGGAACTTACATTCGTTTATCATTGCTACTTGACTTGAATTGGTAAGTGAGAAACGTTGATACTCACCTATTGATGAAGGTATTTAAAAAAAGTCGTGAGCGTAACGACCTTCGTTGATCAGTTTTTCAAACATTGTCAACTACACCGAACGGAAAATCGTCATTCTCGAATAGCAGCTATATGCATCTTCCTCGCGAACGTTCATTATCACGTTTGCAATCAGAGGTGTAATAAAGACCAGGGGTCATATCAATATCCCGTCAATGCTTTGTTACTGGCCTGAGTAATAAATTCAGTAAAAAAAAACATTGTAATAGTGGCAAATAATAATTATGACTATAACATCACATGAGTATATAAACCCAGAAAAGCAGCTTCTTCTTTTTACTTTATTTCGTCCCAAATACTTACATAATCTTGTACGAATAACTCTAACAGTGTATATACCTACATCCTTTGCTGAGATAACTAAGAGAGGTTCTTTTCAGCAAAAATTTCTCATGGGTTGCAATATATTATATATATGTGTTACATTTTAGTTGATGACGAACACACATCCACATGGAACAACTGGACAAATCACTTGTTTGGTCTATTTGATGGCGCTGCGTACTCAGAAAAAGTTAAGGAACGCGTGACAATTATAAAATTCGATTTGGATGTCTCAATAAGACAGTTGTCTCTTATAATTAAGCACGTAGTTGCGTGTTCCTTATACTCCATAAAAATGTTGACTTCACTGAATTAACAACCATGGTTTGTTCACAAAAGCTATGAGGCTCTATAAATAATAGAGTAGCCACGGCGAAGTACTTGATATACCTCATAACCTTTATAGTTGCCACGCTGGGCAGTAATTAGAGTGATAAAAGATAATGAATGCAAAGAGGACTAGAGCAACGTATGTCTACACCAATGTTTTCTGCTTTTCTCACGTAACGCTGAAAATCTGAGTAATTAGGGGCAACAAGCTGTTGCAGTAACAATGCTTCCTGCACACTCGACAGATGGGCGTTAAACAATTTGTAGCGTTTTTTCGTAAAGTGGTACTGCTAAGTTTTACGCACGGTATCGCCGTTCGGCATTCCATCATACGGCTGGCTCCTCGTACGAAACGAGCTGTTTTTATATATAAGGACTCGAATTCAGACCACAACATGTCCCTAAAATGATTATGCAAATTTGTTACCCACTAAGCTATCGCGGGTGTAGGTCTAGTAAAATATGGATCAGCATCAAATCAAGTCAGAGGATGAACTGATGTGTCAAGCCGGCTATGCACACATACGTTGTGGAACCCTCGCTTAATCCTAGTGACCGTTCTTAGACAGCGATATAATCAACAACATCGAGCAGCAAGTTCCGCTCACTCGACACAAAGCAGAATATGAAAAAACCATATGGGGGTTCAGAACGAAACTCGCTGGTAAAATTAGACTGCATCTATCAGGAATGTTAAGGGTTGAAAGCACTAGGGAACCTCCTGTTCAAGGGAAACCATTCTCCTCATTAGAACAACTGGTACAACTGTTGCTACGACCCTGTGGGTTTTAATCTGTCGAGTGCCTTAGTTACTTATATGGTACCTGATACGAATAAATAAGAACTCCTCCTTGTAGAAGACATTTACGCAGCTCACAAGGGTTTGTACTTTAAAAATTAATTTTCAGATATATTAGTGATAATGCCATGGAATGGCGCGGAAAGTTTTGCTTAAAGACTGTGCTCTTGTTCTAGATATTTGGATATATATGTATGTGTTGTGCCTGTGTAAAGTGGCATCTGATAACGCAGACTTGAAGTACGTAGATATTGTGTGTAAACTTGAGTGCTTTGCTAGGATAATCGCAAACATGCAGTTATTGGTGGTTCAAGTTTCAACGTAAGCGAATTGTTACTATGGGATATTGTTATCATGCCTTTCAGTAAATCTGTTAAAAAAAAACCTAGATAAGTCCTGCAAGATTCACAAACCGGACAGCCAACAACCGATGGAAAGAAACATGGCTTTACATCGAGGCTGACATTCTGACTCTTGCGGGGAGGTTGCCTTTTGTGGTTTTCGCCAGGGGCTTGAAATGAGCCTAGTTCGCCAGGGGCCTCGTCCACGAAGAACGCGATTCAGACCCAATATGACTAAATACACATAAATATATACAGAAACTTTGAGCTTTGGCTATAAAGCTTATTCTATACTATGGGCACTGTATGATTTCTTCATCGTTGTGCATGCGGTTTAGATTACGTGATGAATTAAAATTATTATTTCGTTCTGTTGGACTTGTAAGAGCCTGTTGATATGGATTATCAGCCTGCAACAAAACATATGGTCTAACTTTAATCTTAACAAGTTTTCGTCAATAGTTGAAATGTTTCCAGCTTACCTTCAGTACTGGCATTAAGCATTACGACAACGAACTTATTCAATGTATAAAAAATATACAGCTGAAATTAAACAGCTTATCGTAATACCTCATACGTCTCACCTTTTGGACCTTCATTAAGCTCATATTGTAAGTAAAAATCTTATGTGAGATTTTTATTGGTCGTTGTAACTGTTGATGTCCCACAACAACCATAGCTTATGCGCACGAACTAGCCTCTCAAATTAATATGCTAGAAAGGAATATGTGAATTTTTTTATACCACCATGTGTGATAGATATGCCCTTGACACCTTATTGCTTGATTTATTTCTCCATCCCCAGTCCAATAGAACAACGCAGCTCCTAATGATGGAGTCACTTATTCTATCCTATCATTTTTTTTATTAACGCAGGTATCAAAAGTTCGTTTGGGCATGCAACGCAATGTTCTTCCATCTCAGTAGACAATTCCTTATTTTATATATAAACAGAATACAAGTAAATCCTCATTTTTATTTTTGATCCTTACGAAACTTGTTAATTTTTTTATCATTAGGAATAGGATTTTCAATTATTTCCTAAGTAACTACTTGTATGATGTCTAATTGGAACTAATGCAACACGTTTCACCTGCAAACTTATGGACTCGGCCGTTAAACATCCACTTGACGTACAACTGGCGAAATTTAAGAGTTGGAAAAAGAGTCAGCGCTGATTCCAATTTTTATTAGTGGAATCCAAGAAACCGAACAGACGCGACAACAGAATCTAACGAAGGGTTTGGAAATCAATATACACCTCGATTCTATTATAATGGCAAGTGCGGCTTAAGTTAGCACTTAGGGTTTTCTCCGACACGGTCGTGAACACTTTGCCGATTGCTCACGGGGACGCACGTTTTATTCAAGTTTCAAAGATGAAGGACCAAACAACTGAGAGAAAACAAATATTTCAGGATATCATGGGATATTTTTAGGTAAATATGACCATGTAGGTTACTAAAAATTCGCTCATACTCTGGAACTGACTAACTCTTCTGACAGATTTCCTGCGTACAACATGGAAACTTAAGTGGATCCCTGCCTTTCTTAGCACCTTTTTTTAAAGCGCTGACTCTCTCTGGAGCTCTGGTGGCCCTAACTAATATAGTTTGATCAATGACGTCCGACTGGAGTTACGGAGACATGTGCGCGGCATTCCTACCCAAAATCACCCCGTTACCTATATTTCGCACACGAAGACAATTTAATTCATTTTAGCCCTTTAGCATTCGACTAGCTTACCTGCATTATCTAAATATTAACCCTATGTCTTTCGCTACTTCCTGACAATCTGCGTATTTAAGACGACCTTATTGTCAGCACTAATTGCTAGATGTATTATTACTATTATTAAAACACGTGAAATTTGCATTATCAAATAATTGTTGAGGCGACTACTTTATTTCAGTTTACTAACTAAATTAATATGTTCAACAATGTTCAGAAATCCGACTGTACAGCCGACGATAGCTGCATATAGGCATAAGGGATCTGTGTGAACATACGTTATTACCGAGCGTCGAACACGTTGTGGTTCTTTGTCCGTCGCTTGTACATAATACGATAACCACACTCGCTGCAAAAGTAAATAAAACCACAGCGTTATATATAGTTTTTTCAATGTGTTAAGCCCGGCTATTTTGCGCAATTTATATTTGATAACCATAATCATGCAATGTTGTTCTGATTGTTTTCAAATTCATTCAACAGAGTCGATTAACAGTCGATGGCACAGAACGGTTGAGATGTCATCGATTGCTCAGTGGAATATTTTTCGACGTACACGTAAAGCATACCTACTGTGTACTAGTCGAAGCATTCGTATATACTTCGTGTGTAATTTGCAAACAACAATTTTTTTCCTGCTGCACACCAATTGTTTACCAATTGCGTAACTTATTAAAAAAATAAAGCTATGCCAATAACAAAATTAGTGTCCACCTTGCAATATGAGTCAAAATGGTAATGGAGTATGGTAGTCAAGCAACGTAAGTCAAATCGTACATCGAACACAACTGTTTTCGCACACTTCCAATTGTACCGCTTGACGAAACGTTGCTTACATTTAGTTATGGGCTATCTACAAATTGGGAAAAAGTATAACCAGAGGTTGTTTGTCTTACCGACAACGGATGGGATCGGAAAGTTTCATTTCGTTTTCATGATGACAGTCTCCACAGATGTATACCATCGGCGGGGGCTTCGATAGTGAACTACTGTTTCCCGGCTTATCCGACATCTTGTTCGCTCTCGATTGTTAACTTGCTCACGATTTTACAGAATAGTCGACTATTGTCGATACTAGCCAGCTATATCTCGGTTGATGTTACCAGCGTATCTCAGTTTGGCAAACCGGTCGACAGCTAACAATGTCTCACACTGCCTCCCAAAACGCAATTACAGCTGAAACAAATCACCATAATGTGCGCTCACCTCTCTTGACTAGATGCAGCCTTGGACTAGACACGAGCCCTGCATCAAACAACTCCATTGCCTTTTATATTCCTATCTTCCTCTCTCTACCATGACAAGCCGATAACCTAAAATAATAAGATAAGATATGAAACTACGAGTACAATTGTCCTATCCACACACTCAAATGAAAAAATGCATCCGGTCGCAGGTCGCGTATCTAGCCATCGGGGACGAGCGATAGACCGAAACCTGGTCCGGGTGCAAGCAGCAGCGCCAGCACTAGCTGACCACTGAACTCAATTGAACCCGAGGAAGTGCTCGCCAAGCTCGATTGGCCGCGTCGCTTTTGCCCAGTGCTAACGCAGACAGTACCGTCAAATAACAGTAGCGGTACGCAATTGTTATTTTCAGTGACAGTTGGGTCAGCAACGGCAAGAGGCTTTCACGTCGCGGCGTCTTCGTCTGCTGTCGGTGGCCACTGCAGTGACCGTCGTTGCCGCTGACCTGGTCTGCTGGTTCGTCCCCTTGTCGCGGCTCGCACCGTCGCTGCCAGCAGCAGCGATAAAAGCCGCTAGGGGGCCGCCGCACAGCTAGACAAGCGATCTCCTGCTAGTCGTAACAAATCAACGACAAGATTGTTGTTGCGGTGAGGCCGATTCGGACGGGGGAGTCAAAAGCGGGCGTCTTCTGACGGTCTTTACTACTTCTTCTGGCGAGTGCCGTCGTAGCACGGGGTGGGCGCGAGATCTGCCGCTGCTCCGACCACTTCTATTCGAAGAAGCTTCTGGGGCCATTGTGGATAGTAGCAGTACTGGAAATCATTGTAGTATTATCATTAGCAGTCGCAATAGCTGTGTAATAATAACAAGACGAGCGACTTCAACAGCACGGGCTTTGTGTCGAGTGCGGTCTCGGAAGTTGTACTGCTAATGAAGTCGTAGTTTGTTAGTATGCAACTGCAGTGTTGTGTTGCAGCTTATCTTGTACGATGTTAGTGCCGGTGTAATGCCAGTTAACGCAGCACCAAAGGCAACTTATGCGTATGAATAGTGGCCATTACAGTAGTATTAATGTATAGGTGATAAAAGGCAAAGAACGCTGGCTGGCTGGCTGGCTGGCGGTTTTGTTCGGTTCAGTGTACTACTGCTGCTGCCGTCGCCTGCTGTGTCTGTGCTGTGTTTTCTAACAGCAGATAGCAGGCGCCCTCGTTGGAATCGCTGAGGACGCCGGCTTGCCGCGTAACGTTACGCAGGTCGCGTCCAGTACTACCCCCTGAAAAGATCGTGTGCTATTACAACAGAACAAGGTGCCGCGGTGGAAACAATCGAGATTCGGCGGCCGCGGTGAGTCGAATTGTCAATGCTGAAATCAACAGTACGCGGGATTCTATTGTTGTTGTTCATACGAAATATAAAGTAAGTTGAAGATGGGGCCAACAAAGACACGACAGCGGCGCGTACCTGTAAACGCCTCCGTCTATGAAAGTTTGAACTAATTTAACTTCTGATTTTAAAAGAAGTTTGTTATATAAAATAGATCAAGTTGTGCGCTATTTCTTTTTGTTGTTATTTTTCGTTGTCGATCCGACACGCCAGTGTTGTTGGCGCCGAAAGGTCCGTGCGATCTTTGCCCTCAGGAAAACGATACACAGGTGTTATGATGTGTATAAACGAAAACATGTCGTTTATATTACATGGGAGACCTGGTCTACATTTGCTCTAGTTAGAATGTAACACTCTGCAAGTAAAGTAAAACTATTTTATTTCATTAATGCTGTACAATTAAATGCCACACGATTTGTTTTAATAAAGAAAGAAGTGCTATAATTAGATTACGTGTGTTAGACTGTCCAACCGGCAAGTGAATCGACTAAAGACTATTTGAGACCTTTACGTCGAAAATTTTTTAGTGATATTACGCTGTATGGTTTTACAGGCGCATTTATAGACTTTTCGGTTAGAAGGTTTACGACGGGGTTATAGTTCTGGGGGAAATGACCAGGACCAATATTTCATGACGGAACTGGTACAGCAAAAAATGAAATAGACATGTACTGATAGCGCACATAAAGAAGGCCCGCAAAACTCATTCATCCTGCTAGAAATGACCCGTATTACATAATCTATGTATTTAGAAACGCGTAATGTGCATAGCTTTAACAATTGAGTTAGAGCACACCTTTGTGTTTCTACTCCATTTAATCCTAGGACACAGGGAATATCAGTTTAATATGTACTTCATTTCTTAATGTTATATATAATTAAGTCTTGTTGATAAATTTTAGATACGCCGAAGATGGATAAGTCGTTAATTCGGCCACGAGGCCGACCGCCGCAAGCTGTCAAGAGATCTCGTCACAGCGACGGACTTTCGGAGCCAGCTGCTCCTCCAGCTCGAGGTAAAAAAGAAAGATGCTACTATAAGGGCAGTCTACGACCGCCGTTGTTTATAACCACTTTTCTTTAGAGGACTATAAATTCTACATGTGCGGTACTACAATCTCTGAAGAGAGTACACAACTCACTTTACGAGGAATGAAGCTTGTGCGTTTTGTTGGTGCAAAATCGCCCACGTCAATATATAAATAATTTGATTGTAAAATCAGCACTTATGATTACTCCTCCATGATTTCACTGGTGCATTGAAATATATTGGGAACAAACACGTACATCCAGTACTCTTTGTAAATTAGAAAACAGGATGAAGCGAAATCACTGCATCAAAATTAATGATTATTTTACTAGCATGGCGTTCCTACCTGTCGCATCAAAAAAAAACTTTATCACTTTTATTTCGTTAATATATAATTAAAGGGACAGCGTGGTAAAATCGCAGATGTGTGCATAATATAATTAAAATGGCAGTACATGCGGTAAACCTATAAGGAAATCCTCAGCTAATGTCGACACACTCTTCGGCCTTTTTTTCGGTTCAACTTTCTACACAGAAAGTGAAATTCGAACGCGCCGAAGTGCTGGGGCCAGCACTCAATTGGGTGGACTCGGACACGACAACACAGTCACCCCATCGCCTCCCCGAAAGAAAGCCGCTCACGACAACTCCAAGGTACAGAATTCGTCATCCGCTTCCACTCCTTCCGAAAGCAATGGAGCTTCGGCCAATGGCGAGGGCGGCACCGGGCCGCTAGCTCGTCAAGGTTCTGGAGTCAACACCAGCAGCAACGTTCACAGGACGCGCTCTAACAAGCAGGTGTGCCTATTGCGACGGGTGGTGAACGTTGTAATGCTAGATGTCCTAAACTTTGAGATGATAATCTGATTTAATGTTATGCGCATTTTAACATTCCTTTAATAGAACTATGAAATGGCCGTAACGCTGTAGGGTTTAGCCTAAATCTTATAGCCTAAACCTTACGGCGCAAGAGATGATTAGCAAACATAAGAGATAGGAAAAAGATTGGAATTTGTTAAGCCTAATCCGTTTACCAACCCGCTAAAGACCACATTCTAAAGTTTGAGTGGTACTTTATTTGACTGTTTGATCCGATCTAAAGTATCATTAGCTTGCTAACGGGAATTTTTGTCAGATTTTCATCCAACAGTTATCGCTGTATTAGCAGACTTGAGTTGGATAGTGCTGTATGAAATCTACATCCCTAGAATAGCTGATTTGGTAGCAGCTTGATAGTGCCCTAGGGCACACATGTATGATACATTGCTCGCCATGATTGTCTTTATCAGTCTGAAAAGGATCGTTTCCATTGAGATCGCGTGCGCCACCCGTAGCACGCACCTTAACCGCTACCTCTATGCGCTTACGGGTTTTTTTATTATTTTACGATTTTATTCGCACATCGAGCTTTGCATTGGTTATTGTTATTATTGTTTTTCCATTGATTAACATTGCGGATGCCTGAATTATACGGACATGTAACTAACCGTTAATAACGTTGAAGCTTTCTGTGATGCTATCAAAATGTCGACGAGCACAATGATAGATATTGCCCTTTGACGTTGTAGCTAAAGGTGAATTCAGCAAATGCATGATAGTTCATAATTTTAACGAAAAATTCAGCGTGAAAGTCTCTAGTTAACGTACAAAATGTGTGATGTCCATACATATACGACACTGCAAATGTCACAAGATTCCGAAGTCTTTTTTATTACGTTATATGAACAGAACCCCTTGATAAGCTACACCATTTTCTACAAATAACAAAAAAGCCCCTGCAACACTATAGAATTGTTTTCCTTCGGAAAATATTTTCCCGAAGATGTTTCCATTTATTTTAAGTATCGTTGTAAATTCAGTGACAGCCATGCACGGGTTTAGAGAAAACTTAACTACAGTTAACTTTCGTTACAACTTACACTGGTGCTAAAAAATCAGTCAAAAATGTAGTTATATTACAAACTAGCTGTTTGTTTATTTATGTATAATCGATGAGAATATCATATTTAGCTTTCTTAATTATATATGTCCATAAAGCTGATCAGCAAAATATGCACTACTGTTTATCTGGTAAAAATCATTTGGGTGCTTTGGTACAAGATGTGTAATACAACCTTAGAAATCCTATCCTATGTGCATTTGGCTGTGTTTAATTTTAGGTTTAGCATGTCATTTTAATCATTGATTCGCGGAACTCTAGCGCTGAAACCAGCATCTGCTGGTTAGGGCTTCAGTATGTAATATTTGGAAGATACTTCGCAACCATCATGGTCTAAGGAATAATTATGTGCTTAAAGTCAACGTTTATAAGATTAGAATTGTCTGTGTTGCGTTTTTGGTACCACATTTGGCTGTTGCTTACATGTAAAGACGTGCATTCTAATAGACTAATGGTTGGTAATAAGGCCTCAGCATTTATGAAGTTTTCTATTCAATTATATACATACCATCATCTTACATACATCTAACAATCCGGACATCCGCACCTCTCCATTAAAAATGAATTCTTTGTCAAGCACTACATGTGTGTGTATGCGGAATCTCATCGTATGCTTCAATCTACCTAATTATACGTCTAACATGTATTGTTCTCTAACAGCTTTGATAGTAACGCATCTCTTATATCCTCCATTCCCAGCCGCTTGTGTCTAACTAATGTGTGTCTGTTTGACGTGCACTTACCTGAATCATCCATTCTGCTGTCAACACCCGCAACACCTGGCATCTTTCGTGGTGATGGTGGGGCTATGACCCTGGCCTCTCGCTGCTGGTAACTGGGTTCGGTGGTGCTATTCTGTTCTCCTGGCTCCGCCACGGCTGCTCGGGTTGGTGCCTTTGCGGGCTCGCTTGCGTATGCTTTTAGGTTGCTCAGCAGTTAACGCCGGTATCCACCACCGGTAAGGCGTCCCACGCCGTCGTGGCGCCTGTAACCAAAGCACAGGTGATTCCTAGCAGGAACCAGTCTGTTGCTTCACAAAACGCTGCTCAGCCCAAGATTCAACCGCTGACGGTTGTCCTGGAGCGTGAGCGGCGATGGGTTGCGAGTCCAACTCATTCGACTTCGTCGCAGGACTCCGCCGCCATCCCGCCCGCCGACCAGCAGATCCGCAGTGCGTTCTTCCGTAAGGAGGTGAAGCGGCGACGCTACTTTAAGGGCATGACGTACTCACTTGGCACGCGAAAGAAGAAGCCGAAACCGAAGGCAGCAAAAACTAACAGTCCAACTGGAAAAAGTGTGGCATCCGGTGAGTGAGGGTAAAGAAAAAATATATGTCACACAGGGTCTGAATGAGACTAGGGTTAGGTCAAAGCCTAACCAAATATGAATTACGGCAAAGGAAAAATCGTTTAAGCTCCTATTGAAAGCGAAGATTTCCAATTAGGTCTTGACCCTGTTGGTCTACGTAGTAATCTATGGTTCTCTTTTTTATGCTCTTCCCTTTATGGTCGATATTCCGCTTTTTTTAGCGTCGAACGCTACTTCTGTGGAAGGTCAGGAAAGCGAATCAACCCAGGAGTCGTTTGCAGAGGATTCGGCCGCTGAGGGTCACGCAGATACATCGGCGGTAATGGAGACGTCCTGTGATGACAGTAAGGACGTTATCGAGGAAGATGAGGAGGAGGAAGAGTGCCCACAAGAGTCTGACGTAGAACAAGACAATGCCGATCAAGAAAACGATGACGGTCAGGAGATCGATAATGATGATGCCGACACTGGTCACGATGATGAAGGCGATGCCCATGATGATCAAAGTCGTGACCAAGCAGAGGCGGATCAGGACGAACAGGACGACGATGAAGATGACGATCAGGATGAAGAGGTGGAAATTACCGAGCCACGGAAAAGACGAAGCCTCAGGGAACGCGTGCCAGTGACGACTGACAACGATGCTGACGACGACGAAGTTGACGAAGATGAAAGCGAAGAGGAAGAAGACGAGGATGAGGAGGAGTCACAGGACGAAGCGAGCAAGGACGCCGTCGTTATGAAATCTGAGGAGGGAGTCGTAGATGAGCCTGATGATGAAAAACTCCAACAGAAAATACACATCACGATCAAGATGGCCAACCAAGACACCAAGGAGGGTGGGACGCCAAAGGTAGTTGAAACTCGACGACGCCTTGAGGAGAATGGCGCGGCTGCGGGTGTAGGTTCAGTATCGACCCCAAGAGCAAACGGTAGCGCAGTGAACGGCAGGGAAAGTCGTGACTCAGGTGGTGGTGGAAACGTTGGCAACAACAGTATTTTGTCGTCGGTGAAGACGCGAAACCGAGTGAAACGAAGGTACGATGAAAATCTTGTTGATATTGACGACCCTACGTTTGTAGAGGCTGCCGGTGACGTTCAGGGCGGCGACACAGGACAACAGACCACAACTACAGTTGCGGGAGGCACGTCTGCTGCTGCGACGGCCGTTGCTATTAGCGACGGACCCGAAGAGCCCGCTAGACCTTCCCGTGGCCAGCAACCCTCTCCGCCCGTTCAAGGAGCCGCGCTAGTGCCTTATTACACTCAAGAAGCATCGATCGTACCTTCCAACTATAAGATCGAGCATCTGGTGCGTCCAAACTCAATATCAATATTGAACGTATTTTGTAAGCAGTTTAGAAATGGTCTAGGTAGGAGATATAGCCTTAGTAATAGACATGCAATGATTGAAGTGGGGTTAAAGCTGTGCATTTCATTCGAGATAATAACTGGACATCATTTAATTCTTTTGGCGTTGTAAGTAGGTGAGTAAGCAAAATTGAGTTATTGTATTCAAAACGGTCGATTGGAATGGGTTAAATAGCTTTTTTTGTGTGGAAACATATAGTTCATATATGAAGTAATTTCGCGTCATATTGCGCGTGCTATTGTATTTGGCTTTTCGCCATTTTCGCAGTGTGCAATTTTAGCTCGTCTGTCCAGTAATAGCAACACCATATTAACCCACCTAAAACTGGACTAGTAGATAAATGTAGAGGTAGCGTATGTTTAGGATATTCGATTTTAAAGTCGTTTACCGTCGGTAAACGCTTTCGGCATCATCAGCTGTACTGCTTAAAATTTTAATGAATCGATCGACAATAAACGCTTTGTGGTCAGATGCATATTTACAATCTTCGAAGCATAATGCACGGCCGTAATTCTTTCTAGAACGGTTAACATTTATCTATTCAAGTCTCCACAGTTCGCTACTATTAACACTGATGCGGATTAGCACAGAGGGAGATAAATTATGAGTTTTCATCGCTCTTATTTTAATGCCAGTTACTCAAGGTCGTGGTACATGTTTTGAGATTTATGTTAAGGGTAGTAAGAGTGACAGCAGCTAGATTTTTATGCGTATAATGGTATACAGTAGGTACAATTTATGAACTGTTGTTGAATCATGCTTCAGTATAACAGATCTTTTATCAATGCATGCTTGCAGATCGATAAATCGATCCCAATGTACCGGTGTCACTGTTTATCGCTACCTCTCTCGCATGCCCCACCGCCAGCGGCAGGAAACGATTTTCTTTGCCAGGCGCTAGATGGCATTGCGGGACGCATTCTTGGCTGTTCCAAGAAAGTCAAAAGCTTCGATTTGTATCGAGCATCGCAACGCACGGCCTTTGGCTTGCTTTGTGAGGGTCACCTCGTGCGTCTTCTCGGACACCAATGCTGTCCCACATGTGGTGTGTTCTGTACTCAAGGTGAATTCATGATGTGTAGAACAGGCGAAGGCACTCGTATCCAACGGCATTTCTACCACCGGGAATGCGCGTTTCGGCCATCGCCACTAGAAACCGTTGGCGGCGTAACGGACTTGTGCCCGCACTGCGGTGAGACCAATAAAATGATGTCGGTATGTATCCTTTAATTATCCTCAACATGCCTTGATGATATTTAATCGCATTAATAAAGGAGCCCCTGTGTAGTTTGTATATTTCGATTACTTTGAATTTTCGTTTAAACTCTAATGACGACTTTCGACTCTACATGTTAGGTGTAAGAAACGCTTTGATCACCATTTTAGTCTACTTAAGCCGATTATATAACTAACCGTGGTTGCTTTGACTACAGATCAAGCTGACATTGGAAAGTGAGTCGTCAGCAGTAAGTTTCAGCCAGAAGATCTCATCAACCGGTCCACGAGCGAAGATGAGTCTTGGCAGTTCAGCACGAGATATGAATGACGGAATAGAGAGGCCAGCAATAACTTTAGCCGGAATGCCCACGCCGGAGGAACCGCTAGGTGATGAAGTTGATATCATGGTCAATGACAAATCGTTGCTCACTGCCAACACAGCTTGGTGTCCGGACATCAATCGAGTGACTCGTGCCGCACAAGCCTTCAACAAGGCGTTAGCGCCCCGGGTGAACACGAAGACGCTGTTTTCAGCCGCGCGTCAGGGTGACGTCGAACGTGTCGTACTCGCTATCATGTCAGGTGTGGATCTCTGTAGCACGTCAGCGGAGGAAGATAACTACACAGCGTTGCATGTGGCAGCCGAAATGGGACATGTTGACGTGTGTCATCTTCTGGTACGCGCAGGCTGTCCACTCGACGCGCTTGACGCCGGCCTATATACGCCATTCATGACGGCGGTCGCTGCCGGGAAGGGTCGTGCGGCACGGTGCCTGATGGCTCTTGGTGCGGACACTGCAAAATGCGGTGAAGACGGCATGACATGCCTGCATCTTGCCAGCAAGGCTGGATTACACGATGTCGTACAGCTAATTCTCAAACGCAGCACGGCTCAGGTAAATGCACAGGACGAGGGCGGTTGGACGCCGATTGTCTGGGCTTCCGAACATCAACATTCGAACGTCGTCTTACTTTTGCTGAAACACGGGGCCAACCCGAATATCCGCGACTCGGAAGGTAACACGGCGTTACACTGGTCCGCCTATTCCGGGACTGTCGACATTTTGCTCATGTACCTCGAGCTCGGCTCTGATATCAACGGAGCCAATGAGCTGGGCGACACACCATTGCACGTGGCTGCTCGCCAAGACAAATACGAAATGGTTATGTTGCTCCTGGGTCGTGAGGCAGACGTGTGCGCCATCAATGAAGCTGGCCAAACGCCCATCGAGGTTGTTAAGGACAAAAATTCGCCGTGCTTTTATGCGATTCAGCTTAGCGTCGAAATGAAAAAAGCTATTCGCAGCGCTCGCCGAGCTAAGCCGGTCCCGCGTGTCGTCCACAAAGACATTTCTCGCGGCAAGGAGAAGCACGCAATCAGGGTCGTGAATGAAGTCGATGAGGACCGTTCAATCCCGTCCGATTTCATGTACCTGACTAACAACTGCGAAACGACGCTATTACACATTGACACGACAATACAGTCGCTTCAGTCGTGCAAGTGCCAAGATGATTGTACTTCGATATTGTGCCAGTGTACACAACTAGCGAATGGGTGCTGGTACAGGGACGGCCGACTAGTTGAACATTTCAACTTCAAGGAGCCCCCGATTCTATTCGAGTGCAACCGAGCATGCGCCTGTTTCACGACATGTCAGAATAGAGTGCTGCAAAACGGCATTAAGTAAGTGTCTCTCTTTTATTATGCTGCAAATTGTATCTTCTCCACTTTTCCCTTTTAGTGTAAACATTGGAGGTTCAGTTCAGCCATTGAAGACTATATCCGGTTGAATGTGTTTCTGTATGAGTCACAATGTATATTTTTCAAAAGGTTTTTTATATTTGCTACCACGTTTGGCTCTTTTTCAGGGTACATTTAGAATTATTCAAAACGGCACTAACCGGTTGGGGAGTGCGAGCGCTACAGGAGATTCCCAAGGGTTCATTTGTGTGTGAATATGTCGGGGAGGTGATAACCGATAAGGAGGCTGATCAACGTGAAGAGGACAGCTATCTTTTTGATCTCGAAAACAGGTAAGAGCCTCATTTATCGGCTAAACATGACAAGATATCAGGACGTTTCTACTAGCCATAGATCTAATTGAAGGGCTCCCAGCATCATCGACAGATCTAAAAGATGAAAACATGGATTTCAATCACTCCTTTGTCGTCCATTGTATACCTTGTGTACCTTTAAAAGCAATCCAAAGCATGCGTCAACGTCTCGCATAATAGCCCAGAAGTGCACTAAAAATGTACTTTCGATGTCTTTGTAATTTAGTGATATCTTAATGGGCAAATATGCTTATCGGGGCGTTATGTTACAGGGACGGAGATACGTTCTGTATTGATGCTCGTCACTATGGTAACGTGTCACGTTTTATTAATCATGCATGCGAGCCCAATGTGCATCCGGTGCGAGTATATGTTGACCACCATGATCTGCGCTTTCCCAGGATCGCCCTTTTTGCTACGAGGGATATTGCTGCTGGCGAACAGCTAGGGTTAGTAATTAACACGACGGTTTTTGTCCATTTATTAATAGAAAATACACCTAAACACATCTTACGGTCATTGTCTACAATGATAGTTAGTTGAATCGAGCAAATATGAAGGTAGATATCAAAGGAAATATTCTTCATGCAGTCATTATCGAATACACGATATAACTTGTCTTTGTTGAAACAACGGCAAAATTATTCGCATTGTAAGATCGAATCCGTTCCATATAACCTCTTAACTTGTCGTTCCACTGACATTAGGTAAAATGATGTGGTTCTACCTAACATGCTTCATCTTTGCATGTGCTGATTTTGCGTTTGCAGTTTCGACTATGGTGAAAAATTCTGGGTGATTAAATACAAATCGTTCCTGTGCGGGTGTGGTAGTCCACGATGCAAATACAATGCCGATAACATTCAAACCGCACTTGAGGCGTATTATAACCGTAACGCGACAGACGATGACTCCATAGTGAGCGGGGAATAGTAGTTGCGCTGGACTACCGCTGCCACCATGGAAAACTCCGATAGCCGAAGATCTATAGATTGTTTATGCGGAACTGCTGCACCGAGTTGCCAGCGTCATTGAATATCAGAAATGCTCACTCGCGTCATTCCGGAGCCTGCGACACAACTTTGAAGCAGGAGGGCAATATCGTCACACAAACTGAATATATTACTCTGGAGCAGTTACATGGCGAAAATAGAATATAAGAAATGCCATTTGTGCGCAGTTAACTGCGCAGCACTGGCGTTCGGCTGTTGGGCTCAGTGTTAATCAAGATGCCCCACAATCGCTGTAGTGTCGACATAAGAAACGATCCTTAAAGCAGATGTAATATGTAACGGGTCGTATGCGTTATTTAGCCAAACCGAGAAATAGCTTCGTTATGGGGGAACTGTATTAGGCGTTATTATTAGAAACGAGCTTTAGTGAACACTTAATACCCGTGTGTGTGTGTTTATGAATGAATGGTGATGATTCGTAAAATCACTGACGAGCAGCTCAATAGGCTGGCTGGCCGGATATGTTAGGAGATATAGAGATGCTAGGATAAGAGTGCTCGCGGATAAATGTCTAGGATAGATATAGCGCTAGAGGAGACAACCAGAAAAAGTATCTGGGGAAAAGAATTAACAAAAAATTGTATGAAGTGAAATTGGGTGGTGCTAAGCAAAGCACGAATGGGGGACTGTACCTTTAGAAATACACATTGCCTAATATTCGAGAAACACCACAAAAATAACTATTCCGATACTATTGATTAGAGCAAATGTGATGATGATTATGATTTACATCTTATATGAGATATAAGACTTCCTGTTAGATGCAACTAAAGTGACTTAAATGATCCAGTTCGTTTTTACATATTTGCAATTTACAATCGGGTAATGGTGAAATGAGAAATCAGTAGTCACATTAATGACGGCGTAAGCCCCCACAGTCACGTCAGGCACATGTTCGCAAGGTTAAGTCGATTTAGCTGAGTAGTCACCAGTCATTCTGTGGATAATGAAACGAAGCTAGAAAAAACTGAAGAGTTCACGCGATAGTTTTTTTAGACCAACTTGAACATAATTAGAGACCGAAAAATTGTATCATGACGCCCAGAGAGTGCGTTTTTTTTGTATTCAGAAAAGAACAAGCCACGAAAATTATATTAAAATCTCCTTTTACTATAATGTTATATATATATATATATATATATAATTGGTTTCCACAGCGACACGAACAATAATAGCCTTGTAGAGTGAATACTAACAATGAAATATTTCAGCTCTTGCAAAAAATTGCACATATAAAATCTTGTTTAATGACTCATTTGAAACCATCGCAAAAACTGACGTCAAATCGGCTTTTTGTCTACATCTATGTACGTATTGGTAATTGAAAGTATATACAGGCATTGGTGATAACAGTCATATTGAGCTTGTAATCCACTGAAGTAGTGCAGGAAGAGCATAAGCAATAGTTTTGAGATATTGACATGTCGCAGCATTGGTCTTATTCTGAGAAATAGATTCTAGTATTATTTCTCCCAAAACAGTTTTATTTTCGAAATTATCTTTACCTAATTTTTTTTGGGGGTTTTTGAGTTTCTTTACACCTGCCTGACATCTGAGTAAATAATCACGTACTAGCAATGAAGATTTCGTTATACATCTAATCTTTTTTGATTAACGGTTTGTGGCTAGAACAAGATAAAGTGAATCTACAATATAGAAACCAACTAAAAGAAGAAAAGTATAGATGACATATAAGCCGTTCATTCATTTCCTCTGCTTATAAAGAATGCTACTCTCAGTCGTCTACGGTAGGCGAAAAAAAGGAGCTTTTCTTATTCATTTTCCTGGCAACTAATCAGGAGTCGTCGGCTCTGAACATTTTGTGCATATATATAGACATATTACTATATTTTACGAATGTAGTTTTTGGTGGTAAAATCGAAGAGACGAGGATCGTAGGATACGAAAATATCGCGTCTATTGTTCTTTGTATAATTTTGTCTTGAATCAAATATATTGGTAAAAATAAAGCAATATTGCCCTTTCTACTATTATTATTATTATTATATTGGTCGACGCAAACGTATTAGCACACTAGTCAATTTGCGACGTGTTTCTTTAACGATAACACTTTGCTCCATTTGAACGAGCGGCTAGCGTTATCCAATCGATAGAACAGAGTTTCTGTTATTGTTACTATTCGGATTTATGGAATGGATCTACGCTAATGATGAGGAATATACAACACATGGTGGTGAAGGATTTGCGAAAGTATAAACATTAGCATCAACGCGTAATTTATAGTTGAGGAAATCTGCGTGGTGTATAGAATGATTGAAGAATTAGTTTACGAAACGGTGAAAAGCTATACCCGGGAAGGGTGTGCCGAGAACGTGTGTGCTCGCGTGTGTGTGTGTGTATATATTCATATAAACAATAATAATAATAATAATAATAAAAGTATTATTATTATTATTACAAGTGTATCAATTGACAAGGGTCCTCAATTATGAATAAAGTGTATTGGCCGTTGTAATCTGCGCCAGCGGTTTACTTGTAGATACAGATTTTTCCTTTCATAGGTGTGTCATCACTAAGTTGGCTTGTACGGAATTTTCATAATATGTTTCATGGTTTTTCTGGTTTTAGTTGAATTAAGCACGTTTAAATTTAAATTGTGTTATGATTGCTAAATAGCAAGTTTGTTAGAAATAGTAACATATTTTAGGTAAGCTACGAGGATGATCACATTAACAAAACTGTAGTTAAAACTTAACACATTTCACTTAAAAAGATATGTTTTTAAATTAATTAACGGTTTTTATTTTATTTATTAAACGCTAAATATTCACCCAGCCTTTAACGCCGTAGTACCGCAACCGTTATCAGCTAATTTGGTGGCATGATACCAAATTTAATCGTGGGCTCAAGAAAGGCATAGGTAAAACGCCTTGAAGCCCAAAGGCGGAATATATCACTTAGACGTATGATAAGCTCCTGAATGCCGAAATAATGTAAATAGTTATTAATTTTATAGCATACATAGCATTCTAAAATGTACATGATATGTACATGATACAGAAGTGAATTAGTTACTCCTAGAAGGACTCGTCTCACAATGATACTTTATCTCCGTTTTTGTGTAGATCGCCAACCACTGGTCGGTCTTTCGCGGGTTCATTAGATTTTGTTAGCGGATCGAAGTACGCTTTGTGGGACTCGCAGTTCAACTCGTTGGTCTGTACATGAGCCCGGCAGCAGGCACGGCACATTGTGTAGGGACATTTTGCTCCCTGAAAAAAATGTCGTTCATTTACGAGAAAATGACATGTGTGAAAAAAGTAAATTCTTCATACGTCTTGCACAGACATATCACACAAAAGGCAAATTTAGTATCTATTCCAATATTATGCAGATTATATATAATGATAATGTGCGTTGAAAAATGGAAAAGCACAATTAGCTCGTCAACTAACCTTTGGGTTTTTGCACTCTTTACGCGTACATAGAGGAAATTCAGGCCTCTCTGCCAATATTGTGAAGATTTTAGTTGGATTCCGACGCAGCTTCTTGAGCTTGTTTTTAGACAACGATTCGAGATTCACGTCAAGGGGTCGCTTCAACTTAGCCGTACTCTCCAAAAGTTTACGATATTCCTCAACGGTATCACGTTTAGGGACTTCGTTTGGTTCTTTATTTGGACTGTTCAAATGCCAACAGCATAAGAGTTGAGTTGCGTTACCCGAACACGGGTGTATTATCTGTTAGAAACCAGACACTGCTGGCTGCACTTTTACGTTATGAGATCAAACGACCAAAAACTTTAGCTCTTGAGTATCTGTACACACATAGATTAAATCAGACGGAATCACGTTTATTTAAGAAAAGTTGTTCCGTTACTTCTTAGACATATACAAAGATACTGTATGTCATGGTCATACCACTTGGTCGCCGTCAAAGGAAACATTTGTGACGCGGACCACTTTCAATGAATGCGCTAGAAACGTTTGCGTAAAGCTTATTTATTAAATATATATATATATATATATATATATATATTATATATTATATATTATATAAATGACCAACTAGTTACATGTTGCATCTGGCAAAATGCGTCTAGTAATTTCTAATAAAATAGCATGAAAGCCGTTAGTACTTACTTGGGTCTCACATATGGTTGGCATCTCCAAATGGCCAAGGGTCGAAGGCCGCATTGCTTCTCCCAGCCCGACAGTTCCCTACGATCAAAAGCTCCTTCATATTTCTCTTCCAGCGCTTTAATGACAATTATAAAATCGTCTACTGTGTCTGCTTTCGCTATTTTTTCCCGTAGATAATAATTGTCCGGATGTTGAATGCTGATTATTGAATATAAGAACGCGAAAATTTTTTTATTGCTATTTTGAGTAGGTCCTCAGGACCGATCATAAAATCTACATAATTTAAATAATTTCTTTTGGTATTTTCTTCAGCCGATTTGATAACTATGGTTGGCATATTTTTAGAGGATATTTCTAGTATAATTAAAGGTAGTACACTGAGTCACGGCTCTCCATACATTCGGGTACTAATTAACGAATAAAGCTGCAAACTGTAAATTAATTATTTAACATACGCATGATGCAAAATTTTAAAGATGTGACCCCGCATAAATGAGAACGGACACGGATGCTCCTTAGTGATTTCAAGATATTCTCGAGCCATTTTCCAGATAGGCGGATTTTCGGAGGTGAAGAGGGCGGGATTATGCAACTGACCTTCGGCAGACATTACACCATCAACTCCTGTATATTCAATACACCGCTGTACGTCTTCGAAGAACTGAATATTACCGTTAGCGAATACAGGGATTGGTATATTCGCTCTGAAGTAAACAAGAGACAAGCAAAAAGTCAGGTTTCTTGCTATTTGTTTAATTGCGTGTATCAGCGTTACAGAGACAAATGCTTGTTTCGATGGTTATTGATTGTAATAAGCGGAAAACGGGCAAGACAGTTTGAGAGAAATATATCAGTAAAGTGAGTTTGACGCTATAATGATTGAGGGTATCCATTTAAGGATACATACAATTATGCAACTATATTTCATTATATTCTAGCCAATTAAAAGCTGAACATACTTAACATCTTTAATGTATGACCAATCCGCGATGCCTGTCAGCCTGCCCTTCATTTCTCGTGTTCGTCCATGTACGGTGAGCATCGAGCAACCAGCTTTTACAAGGGTACGCGCATACTCTATAGTACGTTTCCGATCATCAAACCGGCGAATCTTGCACGTTATTGGCAAATTTGGGAGTTCTTGATGCACCTTCGAGACTGCAAAGTTAAGGAAAATAGCAATTGCGTGCAAATTATTTTTAGGAATGGTAAATCACTGTGAGTCAACATTGATTTAATGCTAACTCTGAGAACAGCTGTTGTGACGAGAAAAATACATAAGTGTGCCAATTAATATATATAAAAATGAATTAATTTTTCGAAAATATCAATTACAGACATTTATGGTCCACTAAGGATCTTGTAAGAATAGACGGTTATTGAATAAAGCCATAGAGTGAACGTCTGCTCTTTGCGGAAACGCTGTGACATTAGATAAAGATGGCGGTACGTTACGATCACTTAGGTCCAAGCTAGGTAGATCATATTCTACCACAAGTTTTCATAATTTTCTGCTGGCAGTCCGGAGTAAAGTTTTGAATGTTCCAAACACTGGCACATTGAGAGCTTATATTCATTGTGAAAACTGAAAGGGTACTGTAATAATATACACACAGCTTCCTAGCGTTGACTGAATTGCATCGAAGTCTATGTAACTATGTAACTTAGCAAAGAGTGACAAAGATGACGACTCACTGAAATGCGATGCAGTTCTTAACGATATCATTTAGTCTCGACAACACCCTATGGCGAATACGTCACACTTTTCATCAAATGACAATCCCACAAAGATACGATACTTCAATTTAGTTACATCTACGCAACTGTTAGACGCATTTATCGCCGCTACGCTGAATTATTGTCTAAAGCAAGATAGTTCTTCCAAGTTATTTGTTAATTAGCAATTTATAGCATCCTATTTCATATATGCCAAACACATAGCAGCCCATATAACTACAATATTATCCTGAGCAGAATATTCATATAAGTTAGTGTAATTTAGTTTCAATTCAACAAGCATTTTATAAAATACCAAAAAGAGATACTGAGGTACCTCGATCCAACTTTTTGAAATCTGCTTAGAAAAAATCTAGAAATTTAAGTAGAAACATATTCGTCCTAGAAATCCTGAAAGTTTGATACTATTTGTCAACAAAGTTCTTTTCATTGGAAAAACTCAATGGTCGTATAACCTCATCATTACCGATATCAACCAGACTCACGCTAAATTACTGTGATCTATTATTTATCTATCAGCTTTGATGTAATGATACCTAAGATCGCATCCTGACGAAAAACACAGAACATTTAATTTAGATAACGAGGAGTTTCCCTTTTTGTAATATAAGTCTAAAATTTACATAACAGTAATTAGTATATTGAAATTTCAGATATTTCGAAAAGCAATGTCTCGTGGTGGATATTCCTAGAGAATAAATAATTATTTTCTCATTTATAAGCGATCATAATGTCTGTGCAATTGTTAGAGAAACGTATTATTAGAACTACCCATTAAAGCGACAAGGTCCCATTCGTCCTGCAAGAAAGCGCCATAGTGGCCCGCACGTGCTATAGCCTGTGGACATCCAAGGTTAAGGTCCACGGCATCGCATTGCCCTTCTACAAGCCTACATGCTGCCAGCAGTATCTCAGGATCGTTTGCACAAAACTGAAACACGAAAAGGAACGCACATACCGCAAATACCGAGCATTATTCGCTGATTACCAAATCATTTCGTCATTAGTATAGTTATTATGCAAGAGAGTAAAAATGCGATTAACAGCGGAAAAAGGGAACTATCGTTCTACCTGCACAATGAGGGGACGATCCTGCTCGCACGTTTTAAAATTCTCCTTTCGGTACTTAGGATCGTTCACGAACGTGTTAGCGTGAAACATTGGTGTGTAACAAAGTTGAGCGCCATAGCGCCGGCTTAGAAGTCGCCAAGCCAGTTCACTTGCGTCGACCATAGGCGCGACCAGATACCGTGGTCGACCCAACTTCTCATAAAGTTCCCACCCCGGATGACGTTCAGCATGACTGCCAACCTTATTCGAAGACATTGCTAACTGAGATCTACCCTTTTAAACAAACTGGCCAGTTTCATAAATCTGAAAAAGATGTGTAACAATGTAATTCCCCGAACTCCTTTGATATAATAACTATGTATTATTTTGAAAAGCTATTTGTTTAGCTTCTTAGCTAAAGTTTAATGAGATTTTTATATGGCCTACCACTACAGAAGACGTCGAGAAGCTTTACATATATCTATAGCTGTGACAAATGATCAAGCAAAGCTTTTGTGACTTGGACTTCTATTTTTTTAAACTTTCGCCTTTTTTAATTTCATAATTTTTTTCTTTAACAACGACTTAAGTAATCTGGATTATTCTCTACGCATAAAATGATGAACCCACCTTTTATAAATATAAAAAGTCTGTTGCAATAATCTGAATGAAATGAGAAAAATACGAGCTTAATAAAAACATCATATAACACACGTACTTGAATCCAAAAAAAAAAATAAATGTGCCCCTTCCTACACCATTAGGTTTATTTAATAATCAGTTATAATCATCACATAAATAGAGAAATTCGGAGTATTGAAATATATGGAAAGTCACTCTTTCCAAATGCCCTCGTCAGCCTTAAAAGGTTTTACTATATGCCACATGTAGGAGTTTATGAACACCGTACTGAAATACATACGTAATACCTGAACACACCAACAGCTGATCATTTAATCTCTCGGCTATGCGAATCTATTTGTTATACCAATTACACTTACAGTTAACTTTAAGTCGTTTACAGCCTGTAACAATGGCTCACGTATCATTAGAAGCAACTACTGAGTAATCACGTTCTATCTTTATGTCCAAGTGCTGTCGTAACAACATAACCAAGATTCATATCCAATCGTTCGATTTCTTCGAGTGATCACCAAGAGCTCCACGTGCTTGATAAATCGAGAAACCCTCTCTCACTGAGACACAACAATGCTTGAAGCAGACGCTTGCCGAATACACGTAGAGCAGTAGCTGACGGCTCACTACTCTTACCTCAGTAAAAGCTATGTTGTGGCGTCATCTTTTTTATTTCGAGTTGAACAAATTGTCGTCACCAAACTTCCGAGGCGGCTTCAGAAAGCCAAGCTCATTTTCGCTCAATTTATTACTCTAGAAGGAACTTATAAATTGGGATGACATTGAGTCTTATTGTGGAGAACAAGTAATTGCTTCAAGCTTCACTGTTTATTCCAACATTGGTCCTTAAATCATTTGCCGCTTACGTGTTGTACCGTTCAAGATAAATCTATATTAGAACGCGAAGTGTTTTAATGAGTAAAGCATGAAGTGCTATACAGATATCAGGTTTTGTTACTGGATCAACGTTGCTTGCTTAATGTAAATTGAAATTGTGCTCCCATGCGGTCCAAATCCAAAAAACGCAATTGGTTATAATGAGCTGTTTATTTCTTGGCAATTTTTTTGGTTAATTGTTTAACTGCACGCGGAATCTCCTTTTGCATATATATATAATGAAACATTGAAATCGAATGACTTTCAGCGCTAGCTATTATGTATTGCTTAGCGGATAGTGGAAAACCACAGTTTAGTACTGATGTTTGTTTCAGTACACATCCTACCTATTATTTATCGATGCGCGCACCCTATATATACGCATAAAGGGTTCAATGATTTAGTAAAAATTTAAATCTCTATGTATATATACCAGATCGAAGGCAATGTTACGATTGTCAGAGTTTTTGTAAAGTACTATGCTCATGAAGCTTTCATGGAAGCCAGGAAACGAAATTAACAATGATTTTGATTTACAAATTACATTTAAAATGTTGATGCCTAATTTAAAGACTAGTAATATAGAATTCTGGGTCAGCACGAGTATAGACTTTGAATGTCTAGAATCGCATTCGGACTGCTTTCGTTATGGCGAACCTCTAGAGCTTGACAGGCGCTATGCTCCTCGCATTTAGATTTTTTGAAAACAAGAGTTAGTAAATAACAATTATTTACTCACAAGTATCAATTATGAGAGGAGGCAGAGCAGGCGAGTATATGTATGCGCGAAGGAGCCGCGATCTGTAGGCGTCGCCAAGTCAAACCGTTTCAAAAGTTGGGCGAGCGCTTAAGCAATTGTATCAGTTACAGGGATAGACTTCTGACTGGCAGATTCGTGTGTACTTCTTTAAACAAGATTTTCGCTTGTGGTTTTGTTTTAATAACGACGAGTTCTGTGCGCGCTATTTTAGATGCTCAGCGCGTACATCCAGTAAGCAATGGCAAACCCTCTCGACGTTCTAGTGAGTGTCATCCACCTTAGCCTGTTAAATGTTGTATCTACGATCTAACGGACAACCAACTGATTGTACTTTTAGACTTTTTAGACTTCGTGAACTAAAGGATTAGTCTGAACTTATATTACTTATGATTTGTGCCATAAGTATACTCACAGCGAAATAATCTTGCTTCCCTTCGTTTGTATGTGACAGTTGTGACTAGAGGAAAGCCGTTGCTTGCGCTTACTCAAAAATGATTAACTGTTTGTTGCCGACAGCTGTAACACAACGGGAATTTTGTTGAGTGTTAATGAGAGCAGTCAATAAACGAGCATCTATAAACCAATAGAATTAATTGCGGCTATATTCGGTGTATATATATATATATTTATATAGTCAACATACTCTAATAAGAAGAACCTTCGGAAGCTTTGATTCATCACCTTATTGGACAGAATTCAAAGACCTAGATGTCTACCAGATTAATATTTTTCACTAATAAATTCGGACAGAATTAGGAAGATTTGATGACAAAAGTAAAAAAGAAGCTCCCAAGGTATACGTAATTTCTATTAAATATGATAGCCATATGATCGACGATTATTTATATAGCAATGCTCTCTTAACTACGATATCTTTAAGAATATTAATTGGGAATAAGGTCGTAGTGATAACGTTAAAAAATCCGGCTAGTGCAAATAATGAGTAACTCTTGGTATATGGTATAAAAAAACTTTGATATATAATATTGGATAAAAACTTAGAAGAATGTAAGGCTCATGAGCAATATGTATTATAGAAAGAAAGGTTTATTGCTTGTTTTAAATTATGTAGTCCTTTAAAGGTTAAGTTCTAGAGTTTCTGTAGATTAAATGGGGAAATTGCGTAATAACAAAATTTTTATGGTGAGCTTTGTTCTATAGACCTGTTTGTTTTATAGACAAAGTAAACATTTTGGATTTTAATGATATTAGTTAAGATTAGTAGTAGCTAAATTGTCAAATGCCATCGACGCAGGTTACAATATAATTAGTTCTTAACTGTTTCTTTGCTAAATTTCAGCTCAATTTATATGGAGTCAACGTCAAATCGGTCCGTCATCTTCGCGGCGGCGTCAGACTTTTAGAATTATTCTCTATGTGAGTGCTTATTAATAGCAAGACTTAAGGAAGATTTCAATTGCAGCTAACCACTAATCACGTAACCATTTCAATACTAACCACGCAACTTTGTGTATTAGTTTATTTAGAATTAGATTAGTGTATTAGAAAAACCGATGGAATTGTGATTTAAAGCAATACATGTTGTGCTTTATTATTATTGGTGTAGTGAACCAACAAGTTCGCCGAACGAAAATTGGAATCAGCTGCGTGATGTGCTTCGGTCCTATTTCCCGCAACTCGACACTTCGTTGAACATCAACAAGTGCTGCCATGGAGAACTGTTTGAGCTATCCGTAGCTTCAGCACTGTCGGTGGGAGCGCTAATAGCTCAGGACTTTTCGAAGAGTTCCACTTCACCAGAGCACGAGCTGAGCGGCCGTCTTAAGCTTCTGTGTGACTATAGAGGACCCGAGGTACGTAGATACAAAAACTTCGCGCTTGAAGAGTACAGGAAGTCGAAATCTGTTTTCAATCTAGACCACGAAATTTTAGAACAGTGCTTGAAATTAATCAGCGTTTTGTTCATGGTGCTGTCACTTCGTAGGTGGACGCTATAAAGGACTTCTGCGAAGTTGTGTGCACGGGCGAACGTGTAGCTGCTAAGGTGCGTGAAATCGTTGCGGCATGGATGGAATCAGCAATAGCGGCCGGTTCAACGATGTTTGTGGGAGGCCTCACTTGTGGAAGCACTCCTGACCTACTGTCTGTGTCTGCGTGTTCGTCGGCTAGTTCATCCTCCTCTTGCGTTTTAGCTCTTCGGCCACCGGCTTCACCCCTGCACGCGCTACGGACTCCGGAAAATCACCAGAGAGTACGCGATAAATACTCCCAAGATGTAAGAACTTGTATCCAACACTGAACCACATCGGACTAAACACATCTAATCGATACGATAGCATATTTGGATCAATTTTATTTAAAATTCCAAGGCGTCATAACTAAGGTAGTCATACATTTGACTTGAGTTTTGATCTATTAGTTATTTACTGCCATATTAGAATACATAGTGTAATTTATCATGATGCATCCAACTCAGGTCTATTTGTTTGTATTTACAGAGCGAGCAAGATAAGGAATTGGTTCGTTTTAACATCACATGTTTATTAAGTCTAATATGTGGAACAAATGGTTACTGTACATAAGGAACATGTAGACTTTGCTAATTCGCTGTACGAAGCCGTGTGCATAAACATTTCATGCCTCCTTTGAACCATACTGTTTTAGTACCCTTGAACCATTTTAAAGCCTATAATTAGGTGCATAAGTAGGATCTTTGGGCGGTGTTCATCCAGGCAGTTGGAGAAAGTAATCGTTTTATCCTTTCTGTACAATCGGCAGATCATCAAACTTCGCCGTGAGCTCTTAGTCATGCAAGATCGTTATGAACACCTGGAGGCGGATTCCAAACTCCAGATTGATGCCAAGGAGAACCAGATTCGGCAGCTGCAAGCTCGACTAAAGATTCTGCGAGAAATGATGGATCAAGAACAATCAAAGGAAAATCGATTTCCTGGGGGCCAAGAGGGTGTTTTAGCAGATAGTGATTCGGTCACAATGTCAAGACTCAAGGTTGCTCAAAAAACGGTAGAGCAGCTGAAATCGTACGAGCAGAAATTTTTCGATGAAAAAGCCCGAGCTGAAGAGCTCGAAACGAAAATACTTCACGGCGAAAAGAAATTAAAGGAGTGCAAGGCTCAAATACAAACATTGGAGCTTCTGATTAACGAACGTGATGAGGAACTGTTGGAAGCGACGGACAAAATTGTGGAGCTGCAGTCGCGGCTCGAAGATGAACGTCTGCAACGGTCCTTTTCTAGGTTAGTAGATTGGTAACCACTTTTTTGTTCGGTTCTTGTTCGGAAATCGGTTCCCTTGTGAATTCGACTAATGCTGAATGCGTCCGGTGCGGCTAACTGGTATAAAAGACGTCGTGTCAAACCTAAATAGAAAAACACAAGCATACGGTTATTTATATTGTTTTAAGTAAATACGTGTTGTGTACATGTGCTTGAAAGCAAGGAATTTTCTGACATATTAGTAAATAATTGAGTGCATCTAATATGTACTATTGGATACAGACAAAGGAACCGCTCGGAAGACACTTTGGATAATGTGTCCGGTGAGAATATGGGTGAAGCTGTTGAAGCAGTACTCGTTGAAGATCATAAAAAAGTCATCATTGACCTGCAAGAAAGACTGAAGATAACTGAAGAGAATCTTAAAATAAAGGAACAAGATCTAGCCGATGCCACTTTGAATGCCAACATGAAGCAGGAGCAGATTGAGTCTCAAGAAGCGCTTATTGCGTCCCTGCGTGGTATGTAATATTCTTGAATGCAAGACATATATATATATATATATATATATATATATATATATATATATATATATATATCGTTTACTAGTTCTGAAAGTAATTTATAAGAAGTCTGATGTTGTTTTCTGAACAACCAGGTCAAATTAGCGATCACACCGAAACGATTTCTCAGGCGGCTACTCGCGCTAATGAGCTCTCCGAGAAACTGGTCGTGTCAAATGACGAATGTAACGGCTTGCGGGAAAAATTAGCAGAGGTTAAACTCATTCGAGATCAGCTGAAAGAAGCAATGACAAAGAATGAACTTCGGGCTGAACAACTTCACGTAGAAGTAGAACAGTCGAGAGAAGAGCTTCGCAAAATGAAGTACATCTATGAGCTTCTCGAAAACCGATATGAAGGTAAATTTGATTTGACATTATCCATCTCAATCCTTATGCGAGAATGCAAATCGTACGTTTTGAACTGGAGCACACAGAAGTATATAGTTGAGTGAGAAATAAAGCAACAACTTGAACCTACAGTTATGCCAAAATTCCCGTAGATTGTGCATCAAACAGTACACGTGTTTATACGAAGCGTACTTGCTTCATTTCTGGCCTTATTTTCAATAATTATTTTGCAGTTGAGTCTATCGGGGCTGAAGGACTGCGAGAGCAGCTTGTTGAAAGAGCGCAACGTGTCATGACTCTAGAGAGAGAGCTAACAGAGGCTAAAAACACGCAGGATGCCGCCATTCGATCACTTAACGGTGAAATGGAGCAAAAGCGCAGAGAACATTGCGAAGAGAAAACCCTTCTTAGTAGGAATATTTCAGACCTTGAGGGGCAGTTACAGGAGTTATCCTTTCGAGCTGACAATCTGTACCAACAGTTACAAGCGTCGAGGGATGAACAAGCCAGAATGTGTACTAAGTTAGGTGTCAAATGTGAAAATATCATTCGATTGGAGCAAGAAAAAACGTCCGTCGAGAAACAATTACGCCTCGAAACCGAAGAGAAAAGAAGTTTTGAATTGTCGCTTAAACAGGCTATTGCTAAGCTGGAGAAACTGAAGACCGACTGTGAGGAAACATTAGCTGAAAATGAACAGTTGCGAGCCAGTAAAACAAGCTCAATGGAACAACTTATCAAGATGGAGTCTGCATTAGAGGAGAAAACAGCTGCAGTTCAACGACTGGAAAAAGAAAAGAGCGACCTTAAGAAAAAATACATTGCCATTTGTTCAGATAGGGACAATATTGCTGGTAAGGTGTTTTTTCGTAGTAGATAGTCGTGCATAGAAACATACCTACGATTTTTCCGTACAAAAATACGAATTTGTGCGGTAACTAGTGTATTCATTGCTTCTGTCGTTATAAAACTTGAGGCCTCTTATTATGTCAGCATAGTTTAGGTAATTAAGGTTATTATGACCTAATTTTTTCGCATTGGCTGGAATATATCTATATATCTATATTGGCTGGAATATATATAGAAAATATCATAAGTGTTTGATGCTAAGTGTTTGTAGCACTGCTCAGGCATTATTATGAGAAATTATTGCTGCGCAAGACTTCCAAGTGATTAAACTGAAGAACATTTTTAGATAATTATCTGCTATCACCTGGCGCCCTGGATAACGAGCTCCTGTTCGGACTTTGATGGAAACATCCAAATATTTGGGCGTGTTTATTACTTCAACCACAGTCGGCGTTGCCGAATAATAGAATAACCCATCGGAAACGTTGTTGTGGACCATCAGTTCATAGGGTACTAGCTTGAACAGATGCAGGCGAATAGACCGTTAGTGCCGATGCACCCTGAACTCACGGATTTTGCATGGATTCCAGAAACGAGCAGCCTAGTGGGTTCTGTCAGCTACTCAAAAACGAAGATTACAGAACTTGAAGCAGCACTTTCAGAAAAAAATAGGGAGCTCGCCAAAGAAGAGGCCAAATGCACAGAACTCAGTGATGCCATTTCCAAAGAAGTTGAAGACAAAGAGTTCATGCAGGCAAGTCACAGATCAGTTTCATATTCTCCAATATGATTTTCCACATTAATCGATGTATAAGCCTGATTCTTGTTCTTATCAAGGTAGTAACGTTAAGTCATTATAGAGATACTTTCCAAGCATTCACCGCACAACTTAAATGTCAATACGACAATTGACTTTCTCTCTGTCATAGGAAACTTTGAATGAGGCGACACGAACGTTGTCTGCTAAGGAGAAGCAAATCGCCGAAATGACAAAGTCAATAGCTTCTCTTACATCGGAACTAGAATCTGCGAAGGCTAACCTAGCTATAAAGGATGGCACCTTGAAGATTATAGAAGTAAAACTCGATGAAGTTAATTCAGCGGCGAAGAATATGAGCGCTGTACTCACAGTTGCACAACAAGAGAAGGCTGAACTCGAGAAAAAACTTGAAATTGCCAATCAGACCATTGCAAAGCTTGGTCACGAACGAGATTCTATCGCTGATCAGATCGAATCAAAATCGAACGAAGCAATTCTCAGGCTCAGAGCGGAAAAGGAGGGCATGGCTAATGAGGTCAGGGATATTAACAATAGAGCAGCTATTTTAGAAAAACAGTTAGAAGCCGCGCGACAAGAGAATAAGGATGTTAATGAGGCGGTCACAACCGCTCGTCAGGAATTGCAAAAAACCAAAGCAAAGCTCGAGGCAAACACGCAAGCATGTATAGAGAACTCGAGTTTCAAAGATCAGGTGGAAACCCTGAGGAAGGCATTGGCTGAAAGTCAAGAAGAATGCGCAGTACTCAAAGAGTCTATCTTTTCGAAAAATGTGAGTCTCTTTCCGTACCTTTAACCCAAGCTACCGTGGTATACGATTTACTATTTAGGCGATCCCTGTGAATGATGTACATAGCGCATTGATGATTTTCTCCTCCATAATTTTCAAGAATATTCAAACCTTTTATTTAGCCCTAATGATGAGATACAATATTCTAGTCTGATTGTACTGATTTTAATAGTTAAGAGTCATTGAGTAATGAAACCCATTTTTCCTATATATACGTACAGAACGATATTTCCTGTTTTGTATACAACAGATCGCCGGAAAGGTTGGATGTCAATACTGGATGAACCTGATAGGACGTTTCAGACGTTGGGCCAAATGTGTCAAATTTTACGTTAAGCATTTATGGTTACTGCTAGACTACTTAGGAGTGTAAATTTTATACACCTAAAAGCTAAAGAAACAACCGAATAAATTATAGTGCAATTTTGTTCAATCGTCTAGGTTATGTTGGATAATATCGGTCGTTCAGTGAAGTCACTGCAAGCCGAGTGTGGCCACCATTTATCGAGAATAAATGATCTGCAGGCGAAGATCAAATCATCTGAAACCTCTATTAAAGAACAAACAGAAGTAATTCATCAACTAAAGAGAGCTCTCAAAGGATCCGAGGCAGGCCGAACTGAAGCCGAAAAAGCTTTACAGGAAAACATCGCCGAAAGTCAACAACTTACGAAGGACATAGATACTAATCTCGAACAAATGAAAGAGTTTATGGAAGAGGTGTGAAAAGTTATTATACCCGTTTTTAGCCTAGTGCTCATGAGCTATAGCTTCTTGATCCAGGCCTATTACCGTTGTTTCGATGTGAATGTGTCCATAATCTATTCGTTTTTATTAAGATTCACCGAAGCAAATTCCGCTTTTCTATTGTGCCAAAAAATAAGGGAAATATGGGCTTATATTATCTATATTGAAGTAGCAGATAATAAATAAGTGTAACATGTAGGAATTATTAAATATACTCACAACACACATGCGGGTTAACATGAGGAGATTTATGTTTTGCGTGTGCAGGTCCAGAGCGCCAACAAAGCAAAAGACGAAATGGAAAAGTCTAACAAGATACTTAAACTTGAACAACGAAAGCTTAGTGCGGAAATCGCACGTCTGCGAGCAAATGCAAGCTTTGAATCCAGTGAAGACGCTCAGAAGCTAAAGAGTTTCAAGAAGAGTCTTGCGGATTTGCTGGAGCAAATGGATGTTCAGGCGCCCATCATGGGCCAGGATGAACTCCTAGGTGTCGTCGAGAAGTCAGTCGAATCCGCTAAGAGGGTCAAAGAGCTTGAAGCAGAAAAACGAACATTGCAGCGGCTGGCAGAGAATTCTGAAGCTGAAGTCAAAGGTAGAATCACGTTGGTAATCAGCGAGAACGATCAGCTCAAGCGAAAATTACGTGACGCGATGGAACAGGTAAGTCACTTGTTACTTCGACTACAACTGATAGGGTAAAACGGATCACATTCGAAGTGCATTTTTAATTTGGCGGGTAATCGCTGGAGTGAGGAGTAATAGTGACACAAGTATTAATATCATAACAAGTTTATTTGCTATCTAGATTTTTATGCGTTACGTTTATGTTAAGCTTTTAGTCCCCGATACTCGTAAAACTACGAACGCAGGAATTCCCATAAAACAAATTACTATTAATAGCTGATTATTTGATTCTATTTGCTTGTTTTTCAGTTGAAGCGAACAAAAGACGAACTAACAGAAGTGGAAACAACCATTATTCGAGCAAAGGCGGGCGACATTGTTGACGGTGGAATAATTTCAATGGTGGCAAGGGACGTCATGAACCTCGCGGTTAGCGCTCAAGATAACAAAATAACGAAAGATGAAGTAACGCAGCTTCGGCTTCAGCTTTCGAAGAGCAACAGTGAATATGAACGACTCGTGAACGAGCTAAAAACAGTTGAGGATGCCCGGGTAGAAGTTGTTAACTTACGTGAGCAAAGATCCAAACTTATAAAAGAAGTGACAAATATGCGACAAGAGCGACTGGAAAACGATCACGAACAAACAATTAATATTCTGCGAGAAGGAAATGATTTTGAACAGGAGCGATTACGCAACGAGCTAGCCGAAGCTCGAGCGCAACTCGATAACGCTAAAAAAGAGATCAAGGTTAAAGATGAGCAAATATCCACTCTTCTCGATAAATATGACATTACCAAGCACCATAGCGAGCGTAAAATCTCAGGTCTACATGGGATCCTTCACCAGAACAACATCTCGCTTTCAAAAGCTCGGTGAGTCAACATTGTTTCTTGAGGTAACTATAAGTCGCATTCTACCAGCGCTGTGAGTAAAGCGTTAAATACAGATGGATGCTCATAGTAGACCGATAGTACTGTACTTCCAAGCTGGGAATAACCACATTACTCTGTCGTTCAAAGAGAAATGCTCGACTTCGTCACGTAGTAACAAGGCCACAGCATAGCATAGTATCATCAATAGCTAAAGTATCAATTACATCCAAATAGTTGCAACCCAAGAAAAGCAATTTTATTGTGCGTACGGGTCGAACGACTCAGCTTATATTTTTTTAACAAAAACAGATATTTCGGGCTCTGTGTCTCCGATCGTATCCTGTATTGTAAAATAAATTTAGATTCTTTTCACCCTGTTCATACGACCTGACGTCACTAGACTTTCCCCAATGGTCGTTTGAACAGCAGAGCCTCATGAAACTTTGTGAATAAAGACTGTATCCGACATAAATATTTGCATGAATTATACTAAACTTTGCATACACAACAGCATACTGTTTAGGATGCTGTTGTGTATACAAAGTAATATAAACTCATCCGTTCCTACCGATAAGTTTCGGGAACCATCCTGTAGGTAGGTGCAATGTCATTGCAGTACAATAAAAACATCTTTTATATTAGAGGCTTTCATGTGGTATGAGAATGCTATTAAAACAATATTGTTGACTGTGTTATGTCCGGCATTTATTATGGATCATTTTATAAATAGCCGCAAGAGCCCGAATCAGCTGGGCCTCCCTGTAGTGATGCCACGTACAAACAGCGACGATGATCTATCCCGGAAACTAAAAGAGAAGGATGAAGAAATCCGACGGTTGAAATTGGCCAAACGCGAGCTAGAGAAACTAGTTTGCAGCAATACGATCATGGAACGCTCTCGAATGAACGAATCAAAAATCAGCTGCGGAAATTCCATTCGAACGAGTTACGCGCCCGCAACGGATGCTGACCATAGAAATCAGATGCCACCACCGCAAGCTTCACTGTTAAAAGAGTCGCATAGCGCACCGAATAGTCGAGCTTGGAATGAATTCCGAGAGCCACCAAGGCACTCAATATCAAATCTGTCTGATACGAACAATGACGCATCGTCAGTCCAAAGGTAGGTCCGCCTAATTGCGCGTTTTCGTTCAGTGAATTGCATAATTTTCTAGAGCGTGCTGTTGGTTTCTAACAGTTCGCCCATCAATATTATTTTTTTTGACGTCATAAGTTATGTGGAACTCTTTCCGCTATTATACATGTGAAAATTAGTTGGCCATATTAAAGCGCTTTATTTTTGTTCTGTCAATCTGCTTTACGTTTAGTTACCCGACATATCGCCAACTGTCCATCTCCACAGTCTCTCGTTCGTACTCGTCACGGTCACTACTAGATAGGGAACCCGAGCAAAAGCCTATGCTAAAACCTCGAATGGATGATGAAGATGAGTACATCAGGAGAACTTACGCAAGGAAGCAATACCACATTTTACAAAAACCACAGCTACAACTGACATCAGAGCGACATTCCGATATAATAACCTCGACCCAAGAAAGCGTTACGATATCCACCTGTTCACAAAAAGGTTCTGACTAGTGCTCTTTTTTTATTATCCTCTCAGCTTGATAGTAACTTGACCAAATAATAGAATAATCTATAGAATAAATCTTTATTTTCGGTAAAAATTTCTTCTTTGATTTCGTGTCAAAAGTAAAGGTAGCTTTCTTGGTAGCACAAAACTCGTACTCAAAAAATCTGAGAGGCCGCGTTCCACGCCAGAGGGATGAATGTAAAGAAGTACATTCAACTCAAGTTCAGCAGACGAAGTTCAAACGATGCTTAGAACAATGCAAATAAAGAGTGAGTCTTGTTGCTATAATTGAAGATCGCTAGAGAGTCGTGGTTGTGGCTGGCTCGGGATACTGTTTACCATAATCTCTGCTCTTTTCAGCATCGAAGGCCGCATCAACGTCCAAATTGTTGATACCTGAGATTAGCGAAAGTTACATAGATCAAAGCCTGCCCATCGCAATGTTGGAGAAGCCACTACCGACGCATGAAACCGTTCAAAACAGCCTTTTAACAAGAATGAGCGTATTCGATAATATCGGAGATGGGCTAAACTATAAATAGTAAGCGCCTTTGTCATGTAATAAAGTGAAGTAGAAAAACATGTGAAGTAATCGCTGAGGCACAGCTTACATGACTTGCACTAAATGTGTGTATAATCAAGTCTTCTTTTCGTCATATTACCTATCCGAGAGCGATAAAGACACATCAGTGAGAAGAGAGGGATAAATTCGATAGGTGATGCCTTTGATTCCTTCTAATTGTTAGCGACAAGCTAAGAAAACTCTTCCATAATGATTATGCCCTGAAGTTTCTCTAACATTTTTTATATTTGCATTCTCGTACAGTGACCTTCGAGCGGCAGCGGGTTGTTTATCTGAAGGAGGAAGTCGTGGAGCGCCTGCGCGTGTAACCGGCTTAAGTGGTCTGGGAATGGGTGATGACGAGGAAGCACAGTTTATGAATCCAAAAAACCTTGAGGAGCTCGAGCGAGATGGTTTCACAGCAGATTCTAACTCTCCACCTTCGCCGACCGACCCATCTCGTACCGACGAATTACTTCAAAGAAATCTACAAGTGTTACCGCATCTTAAGTAATTACTGTTATTGATAATATCACCTAATGGGTATCGTCTTGACCATCTGGTGCCTATTTATGAACACCATTTAACTTGCTGAGTACTACGTCATTACCATGACATGTCCTACGATGCTCCGTTTTCATAAATGTAAATACGTTGTTTTCTTCGTGCCCTTGACAAGCCAGCCCAACGAGTCAAACCAATAATTCTCATATAATATATACATAATAACAGAGCACAATAATAATGAGCCGCGTTATTGAATACTGAATTAACATTACACGCTATTATTGCAGCGAAGATAAATCATTTATGAAAATAAAGCAGATCCTAACTGTACGTTTGCGTGATTGTTTTCTATCTCAGATCTTCCTACCCTGTGGAAACCCAAAGCGGTAAAATTCCTGTGACCCCTCTACTCAAGAAATCCTTCAGGAAGTAACGCAAAGGACGGCGGTGATGCACAAATAGACATCATCGTTTTAGGGTTTAACTGAATCTTTCATTATATTATGGTAACGCGAGCCATCCTTCGCGAGTGTCATTTATTAGGTCTTAAATTTTTACCCCACTTCAAATATGTGCTATATATCATATGCAAATCAATTATTTGACTGTATATCGCAAAATTATTTAAATCATATTAATAATAATAGCAATAATATTGCTACTAGTAACTAGTAATAACAATAATATCGGTAATAGCGATTGCAGTAAAGCGTTTTCAACGCTGAGCATACCTCGTCTTGCAGCCCGTCATTATGGAAGTATTAAATAATTGTTAATAAGACTATATATAACTATTTAAATATTTGTTGACGCCATTTACGTCGACAAGAAGTTTTTTTTCGCTATTTGACTTCATTCGTCCTGAGCATATCCTACCATGTAAAAGCTCCAATTTTGGCAATGGCAAACAACAACTCTTGTTCTTTCGTTACATTTTCCTTTATCGTGTATTCTATAGTCGTACGTTTATGAATTCTATATTTGTTAGGGACGCTATTACCAATATAGGATATGATGCATTTGAAGGATCTGTCACATAGTTAAGATGGTGATGAAAGTTGTGACGGCACGCTGAATAACAGTGGCAGCCAATATTTTAGAATAGAAAAATGTACCACGGCATTTGAGAATCGGTCATAAAGGTCGGATAATTAAGTTTGTTTGAGTTTGGGAAACTGGAAAAGGTTTGTGCGCTTGCAGAAAACCAAGTGGACGAAAAGGTTAACTTCCATAGACAGTGTGGTCTAAAGCGAGTGTTTTAACGTTATGTAAGTTGAATAAAATATAAGGAGTGTTGCATTGTGAAATCATGTATTGAAAGAACCTTTTCTTATGGCTGCTCTGCTGCGTTGAATTGGCTTTTCAAATTTTTGTGAATAAGTGCTTCGCAATGTGACATGGGAGGTGACATTACGGCGACAAACCATTGTTTGACCTGTAGTTTGGCAAATGTCATGTGTTTTTTCTAAATCGCTAAGTATTGTCCTAAGACAACTACGTGCCGTCAAATACATTTATTTTGCAAGTCTGTACAGAAACACAGAATTTTAATAAAAGGTTGATTACGACAAGTTGTGTTACTTTGGAAAGAACGATGAATATATGTTGTATTCAATTACTTGATTATTGAGCGTTTTTTTCCTATCTAAAACTGAACAGCTGCTGAATATGTGCCAACGATTAAACTTTCGCCGGTTGTTTATTGTACAAAATTAGCATGTGACGAAGTTAGAAACTCACACTTTTTCTCTGTGGTATACAACAAGCTGCTTGACCAGTGACTGTCACGATGTACAACCTAGTTGATTCATGAGAGTCCGAGGAAAGAGAGACTGTAAAAAGATTCGATCTGATGTCGTCCACTTATCATACAGCCAACTCCCACGGTTCCATATTGTTATGGAAGCAAGCTTAGACCGTTACGACTTTTTCATCTTTTTAAGTATCAAACGCCGCAATGCTTTTGATATTACTGCAGCCTTGGTATGGTTTAAAAGTCTTTAGGAAATAAGATTACCTTCTTAAACCTTCAGTATTGTCGTGAGATTTTTCATCTGCCTTATCACCCGTTTTGTGTAACTAAAACGACACACGCTTCAACACTCTGTACATATATTGAAGTGGTACAGCTAAAGCTACAGGACTAATGTACAGGTCTAAGCGTCTTTCCTTGAAGCTCATAGCGTGGTGTTATTACATATATACAATCATTTATTGAAATAGTCTCGCTTAAAAGAAAATGACTCTTGTTTTGATAACAAACGATCTCAAAAGCGGCTTGCAGAACTAGGCATGATTTAGTAACATGGATAGTGCACTCTCAAAAGTTTATATTTGCTTACGTAATTATGAGTAGGTACACGTTAAATGATGCTCGCTAGAAACAGTCTTTCTAAAGGTACAACCTTAAATCCGTATTTGTGTGCTATTTGAAATCCTCTTCTTGCCACTGGCGCGTGAACATTTGCTCCTTAATGAAGCTTTGCCAGTTTACCGAAAATGACCTAGACGGCAACGCTTTGGTAGAAAAAATCTGTGATTGAAGGACCTAACCGCTTTAATGAACGGAACTGCCTGTTACAGACACTACCGTTAGTTGACACAGAACTTCATATAGTTTACACATCGGCAAAATTAAGCTTGTCTACCACTAAACCGGCGGAAGTATTTATCTATCCAAGTAAATCCTTGCATATCTTTGTTCCTTCTCTGTTAAAGTTCCGGTCATGAGAAATGCATGGGTCTCCCTATTGTTTACGACTGTGACCATTGGTTGCACAAAGACTCAAGCATTAGATTTCAGCAAACTATCTGCTGAGTAGAGAAAACAAGTGATAAAACGTCTTGTGTAGGCCTTCCTTATGCCTATTTGTATAGAGCATTAAGCTGAATATAAGAACAGTGTCGCTCCGTAATCCGGCGTCTATGGCCTGGGAAATTGCTAGCGCCGGTTATGCATCGTCGAGTCGAAATCCAGGGCTACTACCTACGTACGACGAACATTGGAGGAAGGTCACACAATGATACAAACAACAAGTTTCGAAAATAAATACGTCTAGACTGTATTATGGAAAGTATTGTGAGAAAAACATAAACGTTTGTTTAACTAAACACGGAAGCAACTAGGTTCAACTTAAAGGAAATTATTTCCAATCTGAAGTAGCGGAGTTATTTGCTTCAAAAAAGCATCGTACAAGTCAGTCTATTCATTGTAAGTTGCGCACATACATATGGCGAGCTTGAACCTACAATCCTCTAAACTCGGCATTCAGGTGTTTATGAATTTTGAATTAATTGACATGCCGTGTCACCAGAAAGTTAATGCATCACTTTAAAGAGCATTGAATGTTCTAAAAGTAATACATCCAGCTCTGGTCTATTCTGATCTCTAGTTTAAAAGCTATAGAATAATCTTAAGTTTTTAAAAACGTTTATTCTGTTTGAATCGAATGGCTTTATAGGGCACGTTACAAGATCGTACAGCTAAAATTATAGATAGGAACTTGTCCGTGGACCTGTACGTCATTGTTTGCAAAACGGTATGCGTTCTTAAACTTCAATAGATAATTTCTAGTTACGTTGACCTTTATATGTTGTGAAGAAAGTACGTCATTGCTAACAGTCAGTTCCAACATACAGCGTAATTACTAAAGATGGATCGCGACTTATAATAATCTGTGAAGCCTGATGGACGATGTACATTGATTAAGGCAACCAAATCTAGATGTTAAAAATTTTACAGTTGCTAGACCATAACAGTGTGTACCGGACGCTCATCTTTAGCTTTCTCTCTACATAAGCCAGCGACTGTAATTGTAACACACCGTTCTTTGTAACAAGTGGTTTCGGGGCAAATATGCAAAACAAGGATAAGTGAAAGGAGTTTTTTGTAACGTATCATGTGATCATAAAAATAAATAACATGTGAACTAAAAGCTAGATTCAAGCTTAATGATGACATCACAACAAAACTATCAGCAGTTTACCAGAAAACAGTATCAACATATGCTTAGTGTGCGGATCATATCTTTTCGTGTCCAGGATTCAATTAATAATATTGCCTAGTTCAATTTCCCTCTTGCATGAATTCTGTAAAGTACAAAACCTATACGTGCTGTTTGGTAAAGATGTGACACCTGAACAAGCCTGTGAATTCTTTTTTAAATGCTCCTTCATTACTTTGTTACTATTCTAATATATCTGACTTATTTATCATGTCTGGAATAAAGAGCGCACAGTAGTGATGAACAATATATTTGCACATATGAAGCATCACGATCTGAAGTTTATTTTCCAGCACATAGGTAACCCGCTTAAATGTGATCCAAGCTCTCTCCTCGGACCTGTCTGCTCATGCGCAGAGTGTCTGCCGACACTCTCCCGATCAGCCCTCGCCTCTTGTTTCTCCTATCTTAGAGTGAAGTGTATAATACTTACCGTTGCACCGTACGGTGTAAAGTACTTGGACCCCCGATCAGCGAGATGAAGTGGGATAGGTGTCATGCTGTCAGCTGGAGACATTGATCTGGAACGACGCTACCTACTCCGTTTACGGAGGACGTGTACCTGAAGTGTGCCTGATGTGTAGGCCGCTGTTCCGGCAAGCGACGCCTCTCTGTGGGTGTACTAGTTGCGCTCAAATAAAATAAGATAAATTGCCGGCAGAAAGGCAAGACCACGAATAGAATGACGAAATAAGTGGCTAGCTTCCGCCCAGAATAACTATTTAAGAGTCCAGCTCCTGCTAAAATTATAGTAATATCACAGTTGCTATCATCAAAAACGAGGAAAAAAGCGATTTCTTATTGCGTCGTATGCTGTCTGACCGAACGGATACTCGGTTAACAAACAGCAAAGTTGCATGTACCTCTGAAACAGTAAAATGGAATTGATCAGCATAGCGTTGGTGTCACTGTGTTTGATATTCGACGTGACATACTTCGTCAAGGTAGGCCTCCAATGTCTTCCGTACCTACTTGGCTTCAAGAAGAAGATACGAGACGTGCACGAAGACGTTGAATCGTACGGTGCGTACTTTCCGAACCTTAGGTACGAATGCAGTGTTTCGCTGCTGGCTATATTAGCTTCGAATCGAATAGGATCTTGCTTTTAAACGTCGTGCTTTTAGCGAATACAAGCGTACCAGGCTGGCGACACATGCTGCTGTATGACATCCCTGATTTCTTCTAGTGTAAAGGGCGTGAGAAATTGGCTTAATAAGAAAAACTAGGATGCTGTCGATTTGTAGAATAGGTTCATTAGGAAACCGTTGAAGGCCAAACAGGTTTTCCATTTTTTTAACGCTGGTGGACTCGTTTCTTCAATTAAACCTGTTAAGAATGTGAAGATATGAGGTTATTGAGGTTATTCTGCTAGTACATGCTAATGTTTTGTAAGTTTTATCGGCGACAGGGAATCAAAGAGCTGGTTATGCTTGCTTGATATCGAGTGGTTTATTTGAAACGTGCATAATATTAACATATATCTGAATATTAGACTAGGCCGGTCTTTTCTGTAATGTATCAAAGATATATATTATAGGCGAAATATGTATGTGATTACGATAACATGTACCATCGGTAATATCTAGCCACAGATTCTGTCTTCCTAGCGTTCTGTTCAACACATCGTGCAGTAAATACATCACTTGATTCCTTTGAAGATCATCAATACGTTTATATTGTCAATCGTTGCTTCATTATCTATAATTACAAAATTGCTTAACTAACTGATAACACTGTTCACGTTACATCTTATGTTGTTACTGGACACTTCGATATGCATATAGTCATCTTGCTCAACATTGAGTTTCAATCTGATATTAGCTAACCTTTCTTTCACCTTCTGCGTAATTCCTTATAGCACCTAGTCTATCGATTAACATTCAGTCGTGAAACTGGTCTTTTGTTAAAAATCAGTTTTGCTAAACTTCTGTCTAAATTTCTAAAAATTTCTAAAATTCTTTGACGAAGTTGTTGCTCAGTTAATGGGGCTTTGCCTACTCTAGGGATCAGAGTATTTAGCATGTTGTCCTTTCCAGATGCCGGTCTGATTATTAAATACCTCGATTACTTACGTGAGACACCCCTCCTGAATAACTTAAACTAGCATTTCTAAGTCAATTCATATTAAAATGGATCTAACTCGTTATCGAAGATGAATATTTTGCTTAGTAGTTAATTGTTGTTTTTCGGTGTGTCTTTGTCCGTTTGCTATTTATCGCGTTCATTCTTGCGATTATCGTTAAGACGAGTAACACATTTGAGTAGATGCAATCTATGCTGCGATATTTTTCGATTGGGTCACAAACGATAGCTATAGCCATTTGCACCATACAGTTTTCAGAATGTATGTCAAGAAAAGAATAACAACTCTTTGTTCTCTTAACTTAGTTCATTACGAGAATAGGTTGGTTATGGACTTCAGTGCTTTATGCTCACAAATCTATTCTGTAATTAATTCAGTTGCGATGGGTCCTAAAATTTAGTTTTAATTTCTGCATCGGGGTACATAAATACTACAAATAAAAACTGTTTTTATGTTCGTGAAAGGGTCTTGTAATCTCAGTGAGTTTGTGATGACACATAAAATAATAGAATGGCACTAAGTAATCTTCTGGAAGACGTAATACTTTGACGAAATGTTTTAGGGTTGGCAGAATTGCCATTACGATACCAGCGTTATATCTAGTATGTGTCTTGTTGTAGCATCGGTAAAGTTACGACTAGGAAATTCTGGCAACCGGTTTGGGAAACACGTTGGCCGATTTGGTTAATCTTAAACGAGGTTTTTTTAATTGCTATGGCCAGAATAGCCAGCTTGGCTGCATAGCGTTTTTTCGATTAACAAAAGTTCGAGAGAACATTGGCATGATTCACTCAAATGTTATCCTATCCCTTGGAGCACATGTAAAATGATCATTTCAAATTATCTTATGGACTAACGAAATCATTCCCTATTGAGGCGTGATTGACATTCAACGCGTTAGTATAATTTATGCTTTTATATGAGAGGTAAATTTTCCCAGGAGTGCGATTAAAAAGAAATATATATCTCCATTCTTTCTATGATTCTTAAATTAACGAGTTATTCTTATAATACGATTACTAGACACGTTGTATACAAAGTGCATACGTCCAGACACATTTAGTACATAAACATATTATGTTTATCCTTTCTGTCGGGCTTGTTAGGTTGAAATTGAGGCCCACCTGCCGGTTTCTTCAATATTGATAAAATCATAATTATATTTAATGTAGGTTAGGCTCTGTTCTAATGTACAATTCAAATATACTCTGTAGAGACAGGCAGCTCAACGAACAAAGCCTCTTCACAGTCCCTATAACTTCTGTGGTACTTCTCCACACATAATCGCTGGACTTTGAAATTTTAGCAATTGCAAGATATTTGTACTGGTTAACAGAAGGGTCTGAATTCTTGATTTAATTAAATATTTATTTAATTGAAAAAAATGTTAAAAATTAATTTTTGAAAATATTTAAAAAATAAAAGCTTACTGGTCGCGAGCAATGCTGATAAAATTATCTGATAGAGCTGATATTACAAAAATCAAGCCTTGGGGAAATAGGTGTTATTATCTTGGATGGTCCATATTGATAAAATAGCTTGTGACCTCGATGTTTAATTAATGTACCTAAATAAAGTAGAACTTGTGTAATGCTGATTGCTCACCTGTTAAATCATCACGTAATTTTTAGTTAGAGTTCAGACCGATGCAAGACAGGTTAGTTTTCTTAATTTGGCGTATTTATCTATCACGTAGTTATGAAACATTACCTAGTATACCTAAACCAGGTCGTTGGTGGCACGCCCTTTAAACATACGGTAGTTACAAAGAAAAGATTGAGGTCAACATAGCTGCATAAATCACATGAGCATCGTCGTATTTATAAACAATGAGGTTCACAGATAGCGTGAGTGGCCTTAATAGGTTGTCCGAGGGTTTCAGTGAAGGTCGCATTAAAAACACTGCACCCTTTTCAGTGTTTCAATTTAGGTAGTGAAATTTTGCTATTCGCAAAGCTTAAAAGCAGCGTATAGTCTTTACGATTTGGATCTGACGATCTTGTACGGTATATAGCGTCCTGTACTACATACAGCACAGGTCTGATGTCCCTTCTTGGTCACGCCTTTTTTTCGTCGACACTAGTCTCCCTTCAGTGCCTTATTTCAGCGCCGGCGATTACGTGAATCACAAGCTGACGCCATTACTGGTATTTACGGTTGCTCTAGAGGCCTGCCTCCTGCAGCGATCCGGTAACTTATGTGCTCCGGGTCTGGTTCTCGGACAGCTGACGTGCCTGCAGGTCTTGTGATTCGGTCGCTTTCACAGGTTTCGTTAAGCGCGGGCTTTACTGCTGCCAGCGACTTAATGAGTATTAGACCGTTAATTGCAGGCGGATATATTCACAATGTGTTTTAGTATATAAGCATTTTTAATTAACCTTATATTTGAAAATGAGCTGAAAATATTGTGATATCACGCAGATACTCGTTCGTACGGTCTTTAAAAGTAGTAAACGACGTTGATTTTATATCTTGCCACTTATTTACTTCGATCCCTCTTTCCTGTTCCGTCTTCTGTACCAGGCATCTGTTTACCATTCGATTTGGATTATATGTTGCATATGAACCATGGTAAATACCTTCGCAGTTTCGAGTATGCAAGGGGAGTATTTGTTGGTGATACAGGACTGCTAGACTTCGTTCTCGACCTCCGAAAGACAAACCGTAATTTCGTAATCGCTGCTATGGCGATTCGTTACCGGAAGCCGGTGACTTGTTTTGAGACATACAAAATTATCACCAAGGTAGGACGATCCAAGCGTCGACTAGATAAATAACGATATTCTCATGCTCTAATACATACATGTACATGGTAAAAAAAAAAGCAGGTAAAAACGAACTAGAGCTTTTAGTTTCAGATTATAGAATATAGAACCGAAGAAACCGAAATTTTATCTCCAGAAATTAGTTTTTCATTAATTGTATTGTTATGCTCTATCTATTCTAGTTAGTCTTAGCCGAAGATCGACACCTGTTCTTCGAACAGTGGCTCGTCGGCATTAAGGACGAATTTATCAAGGCCGCCTGCTATTGCAAGGTAATACCAATGTAAAGAATTGCGATAAGATTAGGAAAAGCGCCACAATGAGGGTAAAATTCGTCGCCGAATATGAATTTAATTATTAATATATTTGCATATGGTAATAATACGAATCCAATCAGAAAATATTACTTAGCTTTGAGGTCACGTATGATTTTTAGAGATAAAACCGTACTTAATATATTGAACATACTTATTCGTTCGTTTTGTCGATTTCTTAAAGGTAACTATGACCCAATCTGGAGACCTACGGGAAATTTTGCAAGCGCGAGGAATTGAGCCCAGGGTCTTCTGCGGACCTATTACGGAGGATCTTCATCATTTCATCGAGTTGAACCGGGCCTCTAGTGAGAAGCTTAACCCTACAAGGGGAGCCTTAAAAGTCGAACAAAAAAAACCTACCAAAAAGGAGGAATAGTTGTATCGATAGTAATAATTAATCTACTACGGGGGGCTAAGTGTTGTATAATGTATGCGGTATAATATATTGGATATAGCCCTGTTATACATATGTTCTTGGTGACGCGAATATTTAACGACTGGCAAACCGAATGCGTAGGAATTTCCCAGTATGATACCTATTTTGATTGATGCCTATCGTGTAAATGTACGATATCGTGATGCTGAATGATCGTATCTTCTCGCGCGCTTTATTAAAATCGCAATTTCTTCTTATAGATTCGTTCCATACGTACACAGCTCTCGAATAATGCAGGATGCATTCAGGTACCGAGCTACATTGTAAAACAATGATGAGATGGCCGGCGTACAGCATCATTGTATTGCATAATTTCACTGTGTTTCACTGTGTTTTTGTTATTTCGGTGAATGCTTAGTGTAACAGTGAAAACCTTAAGTAACCCTTATTATAATTCCGAAGCCAGATCGCCATATTTTTGTGGCTCGACTATATACGATTTGGTTTTCGCAAACTTTGGCAAAGATGCAATTCTATTCTGTGCTCAAATGTTATTAGAATCCATATAGGAGTAGAAAATAATCCAGGTTTTTTTCGGCCCGGTAGATCATTCAATTGTATTGAAGCTGTTACTTCCGAGGACTGCCACATAAGTACTTGTGGAGAGTTGAAAACGCGTGTCTTTTTGAGGTCACTTTATCTAAGCTGTGTGTAATAATCCGACCGTCTCCTTTTATACGTTAGGTTATCTTTGAGGAGCCAACATAACACGTGTTAATTAGTAAACCAAGTCCTTATCGAAAGTCATATGATGAAAGACCACTGAACTAAGTAATAAGTTCGTCATCTATCACTGCATCTACATTTCTTTTCAAAACCTCACCTATAGGCGTAGCCATTGTTAAATAGCCCGTGTAAGGCCAAACTGAGTGTCGCTTGGCATCACGGCTATGGGCATTTCTATCTTTTTGAGATACTTTAGGTAGGCGCATAAAATAGATGCGGGCTTAAGTTATATTAGTTTATAAAGATGCTGATCTCTTGACAGGGAGTTTAAATAACTTCTGTAGGGGCGGGGGCTATCAAAGGGTTTACGATATGTTAAGTTTGCTAATCGAACGCGAATTTTGATCATTTTCGTGTTGGTAGTGGATGATTAATTTACATGTTACTAGTTGTTACCTTGTTAGTGGTTGATCTTCAGCTTACAGTTATATCTATATGGTCGCTGACTAAGTTAAAAATCAAAAAAAGAAATAAAAATAATTTAACAAAAGCTAGAAAGCTTATATATATATATATATATATATATATATATATATATATATTATATGGGGCGCTCTATTTTTAATTGCTGTTAATAGTTTTGATTTTTTCGTGAAAAACCAAATATGTTATTATAAGCTCTTGAAATGTTAACTAGTGGATCTCGTCAATTCAAACGCGCGGCAGCATGTTTCCAGCATGCTTACGTAATTGAACTCATAGCTACAAGGTAGGTTAAAAAGCACGGCTTTGAAAAGCCCCTGTTTGTTACCGTTTCATTTTAGAAACTTACATGTATTGCACTTGCAACTGTCGGTAAAAGACAAAAAACAATCGAATAAAAACGTTCTGATAACAACAATTATCTGATTGTGTAGAAGTAAAAAACGTTGGTTAATAGTATACCTATTAACACCGCCGAAAAACTAGGACATAATCAAGCACTGGATTACTAGAGGCAATATGCCTTTTAAAAGCCTGATCAAAGAAAATGCTTGCTAATACACAAATATCATTGCCTGTCACCATTTAGCACTTGTGGCAACGACATGGAGTACGACAGTATTGTCTTAAGCTCGTTTTGTTTTGTTTTGTTTGTAATGAGGTGAACATCATGCGTCTCCAGATGTTCAGGTTTGGAGTACCGAATTTTGTTGTTAGGTTAAACGCCTATGTATTAAAACAAGGTGTGATAAATGTATCTTGTCATTTTCAAATTTTTTTGATCCAAACACACACCCACACGCAGAAAAAAAAAATATATATATATATATATATATATGTAGGTCTCTAATGAGTAACTAATTTTGTGGAGGAAATACGTCGTACGTGATACTATGTTCAGGGCTATATCAACAAAAAATCGTAGAGCAAAAGCGATAGCACAACTTGTTATTTGTTTGTTATGTTCCGGAACTGTTTTTTTGCCCAATTTCATCTTGACTGTAATAGTAGGACAGCAAAAAAGCATATGCCACTGAAGCTCTATGTGGAAAAATGAAAAGTGAATAATCTCAATTTCACGTTCGGTCTCATTCGATAAAATTTGACGGTGGTATGAAAAAACTAAATAGTTCAATTAAGACGACCTTTAGTTAATCCTATGTTTATGTTACATATATGCAGGGTGTTGAGCCTAAATCTGGACTTCGTGCTGCGTTTCTAAGACTGCATCTATTCTATATCTATCTAAGACTTCAGGTATTTTAACGTTACTATTTTGCATGCGCTAAAAGTGTCATTTAGACGGCTATAATTATTTTACATTACTGCCGTTTTCCCCGACTACAACTATAATAATAAATTACTCATTAGCCATTCTCGTAAAGCGTTTTTTGGTGCGTGAACACTTGTTAATGTATAGACAACAAATTTCGGTGAAATTATATTTTGGATTGATATCCCGCCTACGAAATTCAACGGGTCGAAACTGCCAAAAAGTCCAAAAGGGGCAAAATATCTCCAAAAGAGTAATTGATCAAGCTTATCTATCTAGATGGCCACTCTCTTTTGTCCAAAACGGCTGTTAATTTTTATTATGTCGCTTTTTATGCAATTTGTGAAGATTTTCTACCTCATGACGAATCTGACTATTGAGAATCATCCGGTTTATCTCGTGAAGGTCTTCATCAGACTTCACGGACGCAATAACGTGGACCGTAGCCTTTGGTTGATGTCTTGCTTAGCGCGAGGAGATTGTAGAGAAGCTGGTCTTTGATCAAATTCTGAAAACGACGGTTTGACAAAACCTGAACGCGACGAAAGGTTTGTTCTAAAAATAGTGAACATAACGGAACCTATTTGCGTTATTTTCCAGCGAGGAAACATTACGACTTTCAGGCTATATGGGACAGCTAAGTATCTTTGCGTATTATTGAATTTTAGTTGAGCGATAACGCTACCTTGTTTCACGACTACAGTTTTGCCTGTTTCAAGGACAAACTGTAAAATCATAAGATCAAGTTATTATCGTCTTAGAACTTATGTTGGCAAAGGTGAGATGGAACTAAATGGGCCATCGCATTTCGAATCCATTCTATTATACACAAAGGTAACTACAAAGGTGCTTGCAGAGTGCAACTCAGCACAATAGGGACGCAGATATGTGTATATATGTCAATTTAAAGTAAGACATCGTAGTTTTGTATCTATCGTGCCACATGGAATCGCTCTTAAAACAAATTGTCGACGACCTAACGCATTGTACTGGTGAAACAATGTTTCACACCTATGCACCACAGTAAGATTAATGATCACGAGAATTTACTACGTATCATTATCTAAACCAGAATCATACATAACTATAATTGTTATACAGACTTCAATTAAATCAAGCTGGCTTTGAAGAACGGCGCGCATATTCCTACCGTCTTTCTTTCTCTTCGCACAAAACACAACTCGTGGATGTGCCATTTGGGTCATTTAGTATGGTCGACTCCACATAGCGTGGTAGGATCCATCTACTCTGGGCCTTTAGTAGACGGATCATAGCCTTTGAGCTGCTTAACTCGTTCGTAAATGATTAGGGCTCGGCTTTTCTTACCATTACCGCAGTTTTTCTAGCGTTTCTTCTTCAACCCACTTAAATGACTGACTTTTTCGAAAATTACTAGCGGCCCAAATAGTCCTATTTTTGTGGGCTAAATGAACTAACGATACAGATGTCTTCAACTGACATGTCATCGAAAATGAATAAATGATACTGAGCCTATTTAAATAATAGAAGAGCCTTGACCCAATAAGCTGATATATTATTTTCGTTCTAACGATGGTGTTCAATAAATTCTTGGCCCATATAGCTATACTTTATTCTATATATTAGAAGCGTTGTTTCGTTGGCATCTTACATGCATTTAACTAGCATGAGACAGGTGAACGCATCCATAAGGAATAACTTTGAGTGACTCCTATAAAAAAAAGTCTAGTTTTTTTTACAGAAAAAACCTACACAGAAATAGCTATATGATTTCGGTAGTTTTTAAAAAAAAAAAGTATTTGCGCTGAACGTGATGAGCAGAGATGATTCTTTCAGAGAATAAAGTGAGGCATTATGGGGGAAACAATAATTTTATTGAATGTCTACTAAATAGTGACTTATACGTATAAAGTGCGAATAATAGTTTCACATCACAATAGTGGTGACTAACAATTTCGTTCGTAAATGAATGAATAAGTCGTTCGAATTTTCGCGCTTTTGCGTCATCATTTGATGCCATTCTGGAAGACCTTTGATAGCGATTGCAGACAAAAACGTTGTACTTCCTAAGGTTTGCTTTGACCGCCAGGAAATTGTTGATCATGAGTTCATGCCGTATGATTCGACGCTTCCCGATGAGTACTATCGAAATATTTTCACATGGCACGAGTTTCTTCAACGCAAGAGGCCAAAATTAAAGTATAGAAGGTCTTAGGTCCTCTAGCACAATAACACACCAAACCGCATTTTACCACTTGCATAACAGTTTTTGCTAAAAAGGTCTGTGTGTCTGCCCTGACCTTGCTGTTCAGCGGACTGAGTCCCCTGTGATTTTTCCCTATTCCAAAAACAAAAGGGAAGCATTGTAACACGCTAAAAGAAATGATAAAAAAATTCGCTGGCTCTAAGGGCTATCCGGTTGAATTTAAAAAGGGGTTTAGGGGTTGGTTCGAGCGGTGGCATTGGTCTGCGCATCTGGCGGAAATTACTTCAAAAAGCATAACTTGAAATTAGGACTACTAAAAAATACTCACCAACCTGAAACAAACGATACATTTTTGAACAAACGGATTAATTGTGTGCGCAGTATTAAGCGAATATTATGCCGTGCAGGTAAGCGAACTAGGCTAGAATTCATGGTTATCGCAACACATCGCCAACACCGATAATTTGGGGATCGGGGGTATCTTTTTACGCTACAGCTTAAAAAAAAAGAGTATTTGCACTTTTAAGTCGTTTGCTAATACCGGTTTTTCGCTTTATAATCTTCTATTTATTTGTGTACTTTCATATTAGTACTAGGGAAGTTAATCAATATTACTTTAGTTAGTTAAATGTTGGTTGATGCTGCTCTTCCTTGTCCAAAACTAAAATAAGCACATCATTGAATGCAAATACATAACTTTATTGAGTTCGAGTTTAAAAAAGCTATTAAATCATTTTAACTAGAATTGGTGTTTGTTTCAATCGGTGAAATATGTAATGATATTTAACTTCACCGACTGAACGTTTCGAAAAGTGGCTAACTCTTGAACCAACTCAGCTTAGGCAAACACGATACGTTTTCAGTACAAATCACAGCCTTACCTGAATTGTTGCGAAGATTTTTAAAATCAACTTTAAATATCAACCGTGGTAACATTTCTTAGACACTCGTCAAGTTAAATTTTGGCATCATTACCAAAATATCCACAATTAGTTATATTGAGCCTATGCTCGTAAAAGGTTCTCATAATGTGAAGAACCTCACCTAATTCGTCAATTACCTGGCCACCGGCGTTCTTCATTTTTAGGTACTCATCCGGCTGATAGACCCAATTAGTTGTAAGGCCTTCACTCATTCTTAAAGCCACACGGAATTGATCAGTCTTACCAGGGGTCTCATGCTTCCACAGTTCGAATGCCATTGTGGAAAGTGGCTCAGCAGCCTTGTTTCTGATGCCTAACGCACGCAGACACGAAAGAACACTGATATCGTGAAACGAAAAGAGGGACAGCTTAAATTTAGAGCTGCCTTCTGAGGAGCTTTGCAGCTGATCGGCGATTCCGTTTAACAGGTGGTGCCCGTAATAAGGGCCGAGCACGTCGATACTGTTGACAACCGAGAAAAGTATACGGATTGATTACCATAAGGATGACCTATTAGATGTGTCCGCAACTTATTTATATAGATAGTATTCTTTGTTCACGTAAGCGGTAGAGGCTACCTTAGCACGCGCATATAGTTAGCAAGATGCCAGCACGTTACCCGTCAACAAGGAATTAGTCAAACTATTTCTTCAATGATTATTAGTATTACCACCAAAAAGATACTCTATAGCTGTTAATGTGCGCTAAATTACTGAACGATCCTTTTTCTAGAATTAAAAAAAAAAGAAGGATGTTATCTATGGACAAAAAATGGTTGTGTATGAGATAAAAAGGGGCCCCTGCTTTTTAAGAAGAGGAACGCAATATACAGAAACGGTAGCAGCTCTTATTACCTGATTTCGAGAATATAAAGTCGGGAAAACTCTCTTGTCTTGGGGTACTTCAATATCCAGTGATCATCTTTAGTAAATCGATGCTCGAAGTCAATCGACACGAAGCCTTCCATGTATGCCATGTAGAAGTAGCTCAACGATTGATTATGCTCACCTGTCTAGAACAGGAAAAGAAATACAAAATGCTTATACGCTAATTGAAAGACTACTTTTTTTATCTGTTGGCCAGCAATGCAAGTTTTAGTTGAAACAAAATACTAAGTAGGTCTTCAGAGTACTTCCCATATAGATTCGTGGCGGACTCATTTATTTGACCGCAAACAACGCCGCTTCACGCAAGCAATATTTCTATTATTATTTGGAAAACATAGACTTAGGAGATTTCAGTAAAAGCAGCATGAACATAGTGCGGTTAGTAGCAATGTAAGACTTACAATGTGAAGAAGCAAAGGACCCAAATCCATGTTGGCTAAAAACGACGATAGCAATTTCATATCGCGCGTAAATAATCAAGTGTTCCCTTTTTATTCTGAACGAAAAAGGTCGTCGACCTAAACTGCATTTTAAGTTAAGTTCAGTAACTTTCGTCTTTGTAGTTCCTCCGACAGCAGCATATATAGAAATGTACTTAGACCCTTTTCATGGAAAACCCTAAACCTGCCTACGCCTGCCGATATTGCATAGTGTACATATTATGTAAATTTTTTTTAGGATATTTTGTCAGAGGCTTTGTCAGAGTTTGTCAGTAGTATATATATATATACATATATATCGATATACATATATATCGATTTAAGTCCTTTTGAGCTGAAACCATGTGCCTTCTTTTACGCAGCATTATTAATTATACGACCATTAAAAACACTGAAGTAAATTATAAATGGCAGGCAACAGAATACTTCCGTTTTTTAAAGTTTTTTTTTTACCATAGCTACACAAGCGATTACCTCACTAAGGTAACTTAAGTTTCTGATCTACAAGCTGTCCACATTCAAAAGTCTTCATTAGATAGCCGACGACATCTTCATTTTTACGTAAAATTTCAGTTTGTTTATTCATTGCAGTTTTTCACTTATCCAGTTATTGCGATGAGTCACACTGTGTTTTCTAAGATCGGTCGCAAGTAATTGTCTAAGGAGACCTTCAGATTATCTTGGCGCTGCAACCAAGAAATATCAATACATCAAGTTCACGGCATGGCTTACGCAACTACACTTATCAAATGATGTCAATGGCACTATATTGCCCATAATGTAGATATTACGTAACAGAAGGCGCATATGGAAGGTCTGTGCTCAAAAAGGCGTAGATCCATATTATATATATACATATATATATATATATATCCACATTCAAAATGCATTTAATGCTTCTGACAAGCTGACAAAATATCTTAAAAAATTCAAATTATAGGCACTGCGCAACATCAGCAGGCATAGCAAAATTTAGGCCTTTTCATGCAAAAGAGTCTAAGTACATTTTTACATATGCTGCTACCGTAGAAACTACAAAGATGGTAACTACTAAACTCAACTTGAAATGCAGTTACTTTCATTAAAATCATATTTCATTAATAAATATTGGGTATCAGAGATGTGTCCGTGTCCTGGGACCACAGGACCATTGGCAAAATACAGAAGGTGGCAGTGGTGTCTTTTGAGGTCAGGAGGTATTTTTTTTTGAGCGCCCACTTTCACATTACAGGAAGGATGCAACGCACTTACTGTACACCACGTTAAAACAGTTGCGGACGCATATCTGTTAACGAAATTTCAGGCTGTGGCTGGATGAGGCCTAATCATTCTTGAGGTTTAACTCTGAACAGGTAACTGTCCTTAGACATCCAATGGTAATAAACATGCACATCTAAATTCTAATGGGGATACTGTTTATCGAAACCACTAAATCTGAAGTAGCGAATTAGTAGCCAATCAAAATAAGTAGGGCAAACTTGAGCGTTTTCAGAGTATAGAGTACATATGTATTCGCTCACCACAAATAAATCCAACCAGAATAATGAAAAGGCATGAGACATTCTACCGTCTGGTGTTGACAAATGACTTGGTAGCATTAATGAAAATAGACTCATTTCTTACTATACGACACATCATGACATCGTTGATACGGCCACCTTATAACTACGTGACGTATATTCACCTTTGTATGCTCTATGATTGTTAGCCCTTGGGGCTGTAACTGGCCGCCAGTTTATTCCACAAATAGAGGATGTCAGAATCAGTGTCCTTAAGTAGGGAAAAACTGGAAAATTTAGATCTTGTCATGACCATTGTTTCTGTAGCCGGTCTAGAGATTAAGCCGTACTTAAGACGAAGTGGTAGACATAGGCAGGGCGAAACAGCCTGACTTTGCTGAATCGATTAAGGGCATTACATACAAAGAGTCGACAAAACAACCTTCGATATCCCTTTAAACCGTTCTCTGCGAGACGCAAGGTACTCACAATGGTGCAGTGAAGAATCTGTATTCAATAAAGGGTTATCTGCATAGAAGTTACTGGTCAAGCTGCATGAATAATAAGTTGAGGGTTGGGATACAAGCGTAGAGGGCAAAAAGGACAATTACTTGTCCGTGGAGAACCTAATACTAGCTAGATTTGCATAATCGCATGTATTACTAAAGTGACGACAACACGATAATCCGGTATTTATTTTTTACGGGCTTTCGAAAAATACATGTAGTTACGTATTCTGAGATACTTCAATGCTTGAGTATCAATCTCTGCTGTATAGGACGCCGATTAGGGCGATGATTGGAAAAGAGGTTTTGGTAATTTCAAGTGAACCCTCAATCAGAGAAATAAAAGAAAAAAAAAGGTCTAATAAATCTCTAATTCTTTCAGTTTTTTTTACCCTTACCATGTTTCTGAGGAAATCGACGTACTGGCCAACTGTGTAGAAGTTTTCTTCCTTGGCAATTTCGTGCGGAATTGGATGTTGTGGGTTGTAAAGGCGAGCTGTGTACGCCATTTGACCGCAGTTCTCTACGTATTTGTCCGTGCCACGTGGGGGCATTCGGATTGCCACTTGGCTGAGAGGAATGTCATCAGGTGAGGGATACCATGAATGCAGTACCATGGCGAGTGTCTCATAGCATCGTTCGGCTTGTGAGCTGCGTGCGAAAACCTCGTTTGGGTTGCCTGAAGGAAAGCCATCCACCTCATTAGACTAAGAAAAATCGTTCATTTTAATGAGCTAAAACTCGTATACAAACGATTTTGTTGTTGAAAACACTGTTGATATAGGGTTTGACCCGTCTCACAGTGTACTAATTTGCCTAGATGATTTTGAATTCTATTCTCGGATAGCATTTTCAATTGCTATTGGAACTCAGTGTTTCATACACTAAACCGTTATAACTGTAGCGCTAAAATCACTTTAGTCAGAAAATACCTTGTAGAGAATTTGCATTACCAAAATACATCGGGCCAACAAGGGCACGTTATAAATATTACTCAACTAGTGAGGCTCTACTTAGAATAGATGTTTAACGTTAGCGACATAAAACACGTAATAGTTTAGTCTGCTTACCACGTTTCTGGCGCTTGCAGCGGGCCTGTTAAAGGTCAAACTACCTACGTATATCAATCGTCTCATCAAGACATATATAATGAAAACTTGGCGTGGCCAAGTAGCATGGCAAGGCAGGTAAATAAGAGCAAACTAGGAATATATTTTATGACCTGTCAGTTATAGTACACCGTTATACAACTGATAACAGTATCGTTAGTGGACTGGAGCTGTTTTTGGTTTAGTTTTTATATATGAGCAACTGAAAATAGTTGGACTAACGATGTAAGTCAGAATTTTATCTAAATATCTCTACTAGATGTTTGGGCCGGCGTGTTGGTGGCTATTCTTTACAAGGCGGCTACAGTAGTAAATGGGGCCGCTAAAAAACCTCTGCTAAAAGTTCTGTTGCGTACTATATATTGAGATCTTGCAGCGAGCTAAAAGGTCGAATGCTAAATATTGTCTAACATTTACCTACATGCGAAGTATCACATCGTCTCTTATATATCGTGTGTGGGTTGTATTGCAGCTCAATTTGACTTTACTCAAGATGCCGTCACAAGTCTCGACTGATGAGATGCTTTTGCAATCCAATGATGCGGTCTTAGTATCACACATTTACGAATTTTGCAATGGGTTTTGTTAAGTAATTATAATAACGAGCGGGCCTAGCTGTTCGAAAGGCTGTTACGTTTCTTGGACAATAAAGGGGGGTTTTCAGCGATAGCTATAAAGGTCTTGCAACGGCGGCCAGATCCCTTGCTTGCATAGGAGAATTTTCTGCGCAAATAGGTAGATCTAATGCATACCAGTGAGGAAGTTTTTGTACCAGTCTTTCCAGATGAGCGACGTATTGCGGGCGGCTTGAAGTCCTTTACGTGTACTCCGTACTAGGCCACGCGGAAAGGATTCCAACCGGAGTAGAGGGTCACTTATTGGTAAAAGTCGCGGTGCGCGAACCGTATGACGGAAGAGCAAGGCAACGTGGATGAGTTTTGGAGGTACAGGTGATAGGTGATTCGCTGACTGCTCAGTGGTTAAGTTTCCTTTAGGTATGGAAGCTTCGAGCTGTGCGCCCCGTCCGCTGCTGGCGCCAAGCATGGCAATAAACACGATGATGACTGTAACATGAGAGGACAAACGGCATAGTATCTCAGTGTCAATTACTTGGCGAAAACTTATTGAATCGAAGGGAAATTAGAGAAAGGAAAATTAATTGTGTTTTGTATTGGAGAGAGATCGGAGTAAATGATAATGCGTTTGTGGTTAGTCTAACTGGCTGGTCCCATGGGACCTGTGTCCTTATCTAACTTAATAATTTCATATTCCAAATCAAAATAGTCTTTTTCGAAACACGACGTTGATACATGCAGCGAAAATAGGTCGAATAAGATCCTATTTATATTTGTGTACACCGTTCTAACAGTTTAACTAAATGATAAGAACAATTAACGATATTCCAGCGGTTGCGCATTTCGTTCTTCGCTCGTCAGCTAAATCCTAAGCACGGTGACAGTACTGACGGTTCTGGAACAGTAAGCACGACTCTAGCACACTGAGATACGGTATTGTAATCGTCGTGCTTTTATCCTTTACTGAGGCGTATCATTGCGGGGCCACATAAAACATAAACAGACGCCTATGAGTACGAATGCATCTTTGCCCGTAATCTATAGATACTATTCCGATTTCATTTGGCTGCGGGATTAGCGTGCCGACTCGAACACGCCTATTGACCAAAAGTCACGGCGTTGATCGGCCGGTAGAACACTTACTAGCGATAATCGCGAACGCCGGTAAGATAACTCGAGTATTCATTTTGACAGCCAGCGAAAGGACTACTGGGTAAGCAGAGTGTAGAACAACGATAGGATTCGCTAGCTGATAGGTGTAGCTCCACCGACGCCGCTATTATCTCCCTCAGGAGGCAAATTAGGCGCATCAACCTGGCGTTAAGACCGCTTCGGCGTGACTGTTTCACCGTTGCCGTTACCGAAATGCGATATCACTACCGTATGTCGTCCGACACTATCATAATAGCTTCCCTCTCACTTGAAATTCGCGGGCGAGAAGACATAAAGTACGTTAGTAGGTGGATGATACAGGACGCTCGTGGCTGCACCAGAAAGGCAGAAACGCGTAAGGCGACTAGCGAAATGCTAAGAGTACAGACGAAAGTCGTTTCAGGGTGAAGAAGTAACAGTGGCAGTCTGGCACAGTGGAGTAAATCAGACTAGGCCGTCATTTATCACGTCCATGATAGCTCCTTATCGAGTTTGTAATTTTTTATGTCTCGTTTTTTTTTTGCTAATTTCTAACTGGACAAGTTATTCCGGCCTTAATGAGTTGGCCATCGGAAACACCAAAACAGGTTAGGATTCGAAAAAATTACTCATTTCGACGTGTAAGTAGGTGGATTAAGAGTTTGCGTCTCACAGTGAGATACTTTAGGAAAAGAGCAATATTAAAACTGAAAAAAAGAATCGCCAATTTATCGAAGTCACGTTTTTTCAGGGTAAATAAAGTAGATTCATTCAAGATTGCGCTCCAAATCACTGCAACAGATAGGTCAACAGCCAGTCGTGCTTAAGGAAGAAATGGGCATAGTGAGTGTCTGGCAAGTTGACGAAATCCTTATAGATTTAAGTGCTTTATTGGAACATTGTCGTCAAACGGATAGCCAACTTTCCTGGTCCGAACAGCAATCAGCAGCCTGCGTCGGCTGCGTTGGAAGACTGAGTTATAAGATTTTCTTTTAGTTCTTTTTCTACGGTTATTTGCGAGTCATGACTTCCTACGATCGACATTGCACTTAAAGGACATAGCTTAGCGTTATCGGTTTGATTAGAGAAGTCTATTGGTACAGCTCAAGTTTGCCAAGAAAAACTTAAACGGAGGAGCGTAGTATACAAAATAGCGAATTACAGAGAAACACTGCAAGATTTTTCGCAAGGCACAGTAGAAACGTAGAATAAATGGAAGGGAAATTTTGAAAGCTTATATAGGTTAGCACGAATCGTTTTACGGGTGACCCTATCGCAAAACAACCAGTAAAATTAACATTAGCTCTATTCATATTTAATGTTGTGTCTAGATAATTATTAAATGCTTAGAGCAGGCAAACCACGGAATACTGCACCAATGTAGGGTCCAACAGGTAGTCTGCTTTAGATCTTGGGCGATTTATGTGATGCATTTTCGTTTCTGATTTATCAGACAAGTCCCATTTTTAGAAATCTCTGCTCGTAGACGTCATATAATGTCGAAACAGCTTGTTCATTCAGTGTTTCAAGTGGGAAGTATCCTTGGAAGATAGTAATTGTTAACCGTGATGAAGTTGCACTATGTAACTACCATTTACATTTCAACTAATGGCTTAAGTAAAGATCTCTGATGCGGCGTTCTCGGCCGAACATATATATATAAGTACAGCTTTTTTTTATTCACATACATTATCTAGTATTTGTGAGTCGTTTCCAGAATTATATACGTAGATGAGACAAACAATTACGATATATATAATACCTTCTGGAACAGATAATAAACAAGTAGTATTTGTCTCATCGTCGCGCTTCTTGATGTCACTTTTACGCAGTTGGCTTTGAAGAGCAAAACTTTTACCAAAAATTTATTATGTATTAAAGATAAGCTATCAATACATTGTGTCCTAGCTGAAACATTTGCGCGGAACTACAAAAGCGTTTGATGTACTCTTCTCAGACAACGACCTTCGAAGTTAACACGTACTCTATGAGGCTAGAATGTCAGTTTGCAAAATACGGCCGTATCTATGTTCAGTGACGATTACGTCATCAACCGTATCTTCGTAACGTTCAAAGCTGTAATTGATGAGGCTTTGTTAAACATATGCTTTTCAGGACCGCACAATAGTGAGCGCTGTTTTCAGATAGTGACGGTGGTGGAATATGATGAATCGCGGTGAAACAGTGAAAGAATCTACCTATAATTAGCTATCAAAAACACAACTACCGAATGAAGAATATTTTCTTTATTCTTCCAGGTGGGCAGATATGACGAGAAACCATCCAAGTAGTAGAATGGCCGCGTAGATATGTATGTAATGGACATTCTAAAAAGAGCATCTGGGAGCAGTTTACCCCATAATGTAGGTCCCTTTTTCAGCTACTAATTATTTTTTAGCTCGTTTTCAGAGAGAAAATCAGCTATGAATACCAGTATATAAATTCAGTTGGAAAAAATAGCAATGTGGGCCTCCTTGAACAAAAGAAAAAGCTGGAGATTGATCGGCGGTGTACAAAATTAGTATCTTCACTTATCGTATCGCGGATGATGACTGGTGGTTAACTCAAGTACGATTAACTGAGTGTGGATGTAAACACGTCTCAAGAGCGAGACACGGTATTCAAACTCACGTAGTTACAACGAGGAGATAGGCTGTACCTTAGCTTGCCGTCAGGGTAGTCGTAACAAGGTTACGTCCATCTGCAATAGTTACATAATAGAAGAAATAGATACATTTCACTCAGATCCCGTCTATATATACAATGTACACAAATGTGATGGCGGCAACATACATGTGATTATCGTATTGTTTTTATAGATAACTAACTAGAGATCACGTATTATTTTACGTATACCTACTGCATGTCTTTTTTGCGGTTCAGTAATATAAATCTCATTGTTTCACCTTCATTGCTTCAGAGTTTCGAATCTTCTCGTTGTATTTATGCGGCCGTTACGATCTGTAAAATATTCCGATTTCATCAAAGGTGCTAAACATCGAAGAAGACAAACTAGATAATAGTATTAATATGTATATAGCATGTAAAAGAATATAAAAAAGCTACGAAAAATACATTCGCTGGTTTCAAATGCTAAGCGGACTTGGTAGTTATTAGAAAAGATTAAGGTGCTTTCTGTTGCTAGCTCGAGCGTCTCAATGGAACGTTGAAATGAATGTTATGTTCAGTATTACAAGCAAGTGAAATCTTAAGCGTTTGTCAAAAATCACAGATATTTTCAGTACTAATATTGAAAATGACATAATTTCTATGGTGATATACGACGATGATGCCTCCCATCAATCTGCTTTATACACTTTCGCGTTTCGGTAAATGTTACTTTGTCTTCGGTATTTAATGATGCCATGGATTTGTCTGTGCAGCCTTCAAACTTCGTTGTGATTACGTTTCCGTTTTCGCCGGTCGCCAGTACTTTTCATTAAAACGAGGTAGGCACCATTTGGTCGCTTACACTTTCACCGATTCGCTTCAGGCGTCATGGCTCCATTATTAGTACCGTTTCCTGCGACGAAATCGGAACGCTGATTTTTGAAGTCATGCACTCGTACCTACTCACTATATTTTTCGGATTTAGGTCTTATTCCTTCAAATGAATAAGAGAGAGCTTTACTCAGATTAACAGAGTACACACATATCGGTTTGAAGATAGTTAACTGATACCAGGTTAAACGTAAAAAATAGATTGTGCGTAGAATCTTTAGCTAATTGAAAATGAATTTTTCGATGCAAAGTGAACTTGAATTCTTGCTGGAAATAATGCTGGCACTAACGTCTGGAACTCAAAAGGTGCTCTGAGATTTATGTGTCGCATAAGATTTTCTATACATGGATGACGTCTCGCATAAGATGATTTTTTTCGCGTTTACATATACTCCGCACTGCAAAGCAGCATTTAGAAACAGAGAGGGCCTATTTTGCTTCAGTGTTTTTTCCTCGTCGTGAAAGAGTTTCAAATGTTAGGATTCCATCTAGTGAAGAAAGGTTGTCGATGGCCTTGAAGGACACCTCAAGAGCTTTTCCTCGTCCTTTTTTATTTTGAGGTAGCCTCATCGCCTTCGTAGAGGCGCACGTGTCGAAGCTTCTCTCAGTGATAGAATGTCGATACGGTTGAAAAATAGATGCGGTAGATGGGCGATCCGTTAGTCACTTATCGTAAAAGGTTCTATTCAGCAGCCTCGCGGAAAAAGCGACCAGTCTTCTAGAGAAAAAAATCAACGTCCTCTTCTTATAGCTTGAGAACCTAATGCGATAGGTCTAGCCTCGGCCTATCTGAGAGTATGATGATGATGATGGCTGGTGTGATGAGACGTCCGTGGCGTCTTTGTTGAAGTAAAATTGAAAAGATACAAATAATCCCATAGCAAAGGATCCGTCTGACACGAGCTAGAAGCAATTAAGGAAACTTTTCTTCAAGCCACCAGCAAGAAAATCGAAGAAATTGAATGCTCATCTATACAATGCTTCTGCCTGATTGATGTAGATATAAGCTACCTTGTTCGTGCTGTCAATAAATATCAATGCTGCTTTCTTTCTTTTTCATTTTTCATTGTTTCGCCGATCCCGTTTGTCGCAGGTGATTACGCCTCGTTCTTGAAGGATGCTGCATGTGAATGAACAGTTACGCTAGGCGTTTACAAGGCATTGGTTATGCTCCCTTATCCGATAGCAATGCAGTTTTCGGGCAATTTGTAGAAATGTTGAAGGCACACGCTGTGGCATATCTGATAGTTGGCTGTTACAAAAGTGACTTTGCTTCACCGGACGTCCCCTTTAAACAGGATTAAGGAGACAATCTAGAAGCTGAACTGGCCTATGGCAATTCGTATCGTATTCATGTGGAAAATTTGGCCTACATTCAATATTGAGG